GGCAAAGTCTCAGGATACAAAATCAATGTGCAAAAATCACAAGCATTCCTATACACCAATAACAGACTTAGAGAGCCAAATCAAGAACCAACTGCCATTCACAATTGCTACAAAGAGAATAAAATACCTAGGAATACAACCAACAGGGAACATAAAGGACCTCTTCAAGGAGAACTACAAACCACTACTCAATTAAATAAGAGAGGACACAAACAGATGGAGAAACATACCATGTTTATGGTTAGGAATAATCAATATCATGAAAATGGCCATACTGCCCAAAGTAATTTACAGATTCAACACTATCCCTATCAAGCTATCAATGACCTTCTTCACAGAACTGGAAAAAACCACCTTAAAATTCATATGGAACCAAAAGAGAGCCCTCATAGCCAAGTCAATTCTAAACAAAAAGAACAAAGCAGTAGGCATCACACAACCGGACTTCAAACTATACTACAAGGCTACAGTAATCAAAACAGCATGGTACTGGTACCAAAACAGAGTTATAGACCAGTGGAACAGAACAGAGGCCTTGGAGGCAACACAGCATATCTACAACCATCCGATCTTTGACAAACCTGACAAAAACAAGCAATGGGAAAAGATTCCCTGTTTAATAAATGGTATTGGGAAAACTGGCTAGCCATGTGCAGAAAGCAGAAACTGGACCCCTTCCTGACACCTTACACTAAAATTAACTCCAGATGGATTAAAGACTTAAACATAAGACCTAACACCATAAAAACCATAGAAGAAAATCTAGGCAAAACCATTCAGGACATAGGGGTAGGCAAGGACTTCATGACTAATACACCAAAAGCATTGGTAACAAAAGCCAAAATAGACAGATGAGACCTAATCAATCTCCACAGCTTCTGCACGGCAAAAGAAACAGTCATTAGAGTGAATTGGCAACCAACAGAATGGGAAAAAATTTTGCAGTTTAGCCATCTTACAAAGGGCTGATATCCAGAATCTACAAAGAACTAAAACAGATTTACAAGAAAAAAACAAGCCCATTCAAAAATGGGCAAAGGATATGAACAGACACTTTACAAAAGAAGACATATATGAGGCCAACAAACATATGAAAAAATGCTCATCATCACTGGTCATTAGAGAAATGCAAATTAAAACTACACTGAGATACCATCTCACCAGTTAGAATGGCAATCATTAAAAAATCAGGAGACAACAGATGCTGGAGAGGATGTGGAGAAATAGGAATACTTTTATGCTGTTGATGGGAGTGTAAGTTAGTCCAACCATTGTGGAAGACAGTGTGGTGATTCCTCAAGGACCTAGAAATAGAAATTCCATTTAACCCAGCAATACCATTACTGGGTTTATATTCAAGGGATTATAAATCGTTCTACTATAAGGACACATGCACATGAATGTTCATTGCAGCACTGTTTACAATAGTAAAGACTTGGATTCAACCCAAATGCCCATTGATGACAGACTGGACAGGGAAAATGTGGCACCTATACACCATGGAATATTATGCAGCAATCAAAAACAATGAGTTCGTGTCCTTTGTAGGGACATGGATGAACCTGGAAAACATTCTCAGCAAACTGACACAAGAACAGAAAATGAAATACCGCATGTTCTCAGTCATAGGCGGGTGTTGAACAATGAGAACACATGGACACAGAGGGGGAAGCATCACACACTGGGGTCTCTAGGGGGGAAATAGGGGAGGACAGCAGGGGGTGGGGAGTTGGGGAGAGATAGCTTGGAGAGAAATGCCAGATATAGGTGATGGGGGGGGGAAGGCAGCAAATCACACTGCCACGTGTGTAACTATGCAACAATCTTGCATGTTCTTCACATGTACCCCCAAACCTAAAATGCAATAAAAAAAGAGGCTTCCGGTGAGGCCTCAGACAGTAATGAGGAAAATGTTATTTGACATTGACAGAACAGCAATTCTTGTCATAAAGTGGCAAGCAACTTGGCTGAATTGCATTCTAGTGTTCTGTGGAAGATAGAATCTGTGAGTGATTAACTCAAGTACTTAACTGAAGAGATTTCTAAGAAAAGTGTTGAAGATGTGACCCAGTTTCTCCTTACTGCTGGCAAATGACAAGGAGAAAGGCACAGTGAAGAAGTAATTGTTTAGCAGAAAGGAACTAGAACTTAAAGATTTGACAAATTCTCAGCTTGTCCATATGCAGAACATGAGAAAGTGTATCCTGGAGAGAACACCAAAGGGTGGCGGGACAATTACTCCATAAAGAAATTATGGATGTAATTATTAGACAAAATCAGCTATTTCAGTAGAAGCTAGGAATAGAGATGGGGTTATACCAGCAGGAATATTGCCAGCTTGGGCTAAAGGGCATGAGAAGAGGACAAAATGAATGAAGGTAAGACTTCTTAGATTCTACAAGACAAGACAATTTAGCAACCTGGCTGCAGACATGCATTATCCTCCAAGAAAAGGGAAAATAACTCCAAAGGCAATTCAGAGATCAGCAGAACATCCGCTGCCACTGCCACCACTGGCCCAAAAGGTACAGGTCTGGGAGATGAGGCTACTTCCCTCTCACTTTCAGGGAGTGGGGTCACCATTTCTGTCACTGAGCCAGGACGATATGGCCCAGTGCCTCAGGGACAGGGCTGCTGCCCAGGACCATGGAGGTGGGGCTGCCACCAAGGGCAACACTGCCACCTTAGTGGGTCCAGAGGCAGGGCCATCATTCTAGAGGGCCCCAGTATAGAGCCAAAGATTATTATTCCGAAGTCTTAAAAATCTCAAGGGCACCACTGCACTCCAGCTTGGTGACAGAGCAAGGCTCCATCTCAAAAAACAAAAAAATCTGAAGGCATTTGCTCTGCTAAGTGTTGGACTTGCTTGGGAACTGTGATCCCTTTCTTCTGTCTGATTTCTCCCTTTTGGAATGGAAAGGTCTATCCTATGTCTGTTCTAACACTGTATTTTGCAAGCAGATAACTTCTCTGGTTTTGTAAGTTCATACCTAGAAAGGAATTTTGCCTCAGGATTGAACTGTACCTTAATTCACTTCATGAATTGATAGATGAAATATATCATGTAGATGATATTTGGATTGTATTTAGGACTTAGAGTTGATACTGGAATGGGTTAAGAATTTTGGGCTCTTGGTAAGCTGGGCATGGTGGCTCACACCTGTAATCCCAGCACTTTGGGAGGCCAAGGCAGGTGGATCACCTGAGGTCAGGAGTACCAAATCAGCTTGGCCAACATGGTGAAACCCTGTCTCTACAAAAAATACAAAAATTAGCCAGGCATGATGGCGGGTGCCTGTAATCCCAGCTACTTGAGACTGAGACAGGAGAATCACCTGAAGCCGGGAGGCAGAGGTTGCAGTGAACCAAGACAGCACCATTGCACTCCAGGCTGGGTGACAGAGTAAGACTGTCTCAAAAAAAAAAAGAATTTGGGGCTGTTGGAATGGGGTAAATGGTAGGAGGTCCAGAGGGCAGATTGTTACAGGCTGAATTATGACTCTTCCAAAACACATCTGCTGAAGCCTCGACCCCTGATAGCTCAGAATGTGACTGTATTTGGGGATAGGACCTATAAAAGAGATAATTCAGTTAAATTAGGCTATTAGGGTAGGCCCTAATCATGTGACTGGAGTCTTTAGGAGAAGAGGAAATTTAGACACACAGGGAGACAGTGACCATGAATGTGTACAAAGAGAAAAGGTTATGAGGTCACAGCAAGAGATGCCTATCAGCAAACCAAGGAGAGAGGCTGCAGAAGAAACAAAACCCCTCAGTATCTCCATCTTGAGCTTCTAGCCTCTAGAATTATGAGAATACATTTTTACTGCTTATGCCACCTGGTCTTTGGTCTTTTGTTATGGCAGCTCCAGGAAATGAATGCACTGGGCTTTCTGTTATTTGGCACTAACCGCCTCCTAATAAATGCCGTAGGAATCACTGACATGCCGTTCATACAGCACTCCCAAAATAGTAAGCCCCAAAATGAATCAGAATGACATGATTTTGAGGAATAAATAAAATAAAAAGGAAAACAGATTGAGGCAGAATAAGATGATCAAAGAATAACTGAATCTAAGGGAAATGCAGAGGAGCAATCTATGAAAACAAACAGTAAAGAGAGAGAGAAAGGTTCATTTGGATCATCAGCTGTCACGTGACTGAAACGTGAGTAGAGGAGAGTAAACATCTTCATTTGATTGCTGGAGGGTAAAAGAAGAGTTATATGTGAAAAGTGGTATCTAAGAATTTTACATTAAGGTCAGAAATAAGAATCACTGAACAGAAATATGCTTCTAATTTTTACAAACTCACAACGTTTCTAGGAAAATATAAAGAACAATGTTATTGCAGAATTAAGTTGTAATATTGTTTTAAAAGAGGATAGAGAGATAAAACAGCTACCTCAGTAAACATTCCTATAGCTGAGATTCTTCTCCCCCAATGATAGATGTCATATGCTGAGCATATTAACACAATAATTTATTCACCAGGCAAGAAAGAAAAAAAGACTTTCTTTTTTAAAGGGATCACATTAGCACATTGTCACTTGAATATTGCTGATATGGTTTGGATCTGTGACCCCACCAAATCTCATGTCAATTTGTAATCCAGAATGTTGGAGGTGGGACCTGGTGGGGGGTGACTGGGTCATGGGGGTGGTTTCCCATAAATGGTTTAGCACTATCCATCTTGGTACTGTTCTCATGATAGTGAGTTTGTTCTCATGAGATCTGGTCATTTAAAAGTGTGCAGCACCTTCCCCCGACTCTCTCTTGTTCCTGCTTTAGCCACGTGAACTGCCTGCTTCTCCTTCCCCTGGGATTGCGTTTCCTGAGGCCTCCCAGAAGCCCAGCAGATGCCAGCATCATGCTTCCTATGCAGCCTGTGGAATCATGAGCCAATTAAACCTCTTTTCTTGATTAATTACCCAGTTTCAGGTATTTCTTTATAGCAATACGAAAATAGGCTGATACAATTGCTATGTTCCCCATACCTACCTGCAGGGGCACATCTGGATCCATAGTAAATTGGGCGATTTTGTCAGCCCAGGGCAAGAATTTCTTAGTTCTGTGGTCCACATAATAATCAAAGATTGTTCCCTGGGATGGAAATTTCACTGCTTTCATCTCTTTCTGCCACCAACGGCTGAAGTGAGCTTGATAATCAGAAAGCTATGGAGAACAAGAGAAATCCTTATGATAGACTCAAAGGTATTCAAAATGATTAAAAAAGAAACAAATTATAATAAGTAATACTGTCACAGGGGTAGAAACCTAAAATTGCCATAAACCCATCACGTACAAATTTTGTGAAATAACTAACTTATAAAGCAAGATAAAGTTAGGTGAATGCCAGATTACCTGTTGGTTATTTAATCTAATGACAGCATATCATGCAAATTCCTGTGCTAGGTAGTCACTATTGAACAGCGGTGTTCACTTCTACCAATGTTCACATTAATTTATGGGAAAATGCGGAAAATAAGAAAGGAGTACTTTTTAAAAATTAATAACATTATTTGATTTAAATGCTGGCCCTTTCAGTGATAAAATGTTTTTTCCCTTATAAAATTATGGTGATAGTTATTTTTAGAAACACTCTTGCTTAGAAAACAACTGGGAACTCTATACCATTCCTACAAATCATTATCGAAACTCTGTTAATCTCTGGAATTCTAAATCTGGGAATCCCTGGCATGAGAGATGGAGGAATGGAGAAAGGCATGGACTTGGTTTCCCACCAGACCAAATCTGAGGGGTCCAACTGAAAACTGCATGGGGACCAACTTTCATCCTCCAGAGAGATTTACAGTGACAAGAAACAGGCTCTCTTTACTGGGAGGTGCTTGTTTTAATATGCTTATAGATATAAGCCATTTACTGCTAGATTAGGGTTTGGAAAATAAAGAAAAAGACAACTGTGTATAACTACTAGAAAAACCCCTCTATATCCATATGATGACCTAGCCCAGGGATGCCCTTGTCCACAGGATGACCTGACCCAGTGACTCCTATATCCACAGGATAATCTGACCCACAGATTCCTATATCCACAGGATGACCTGTCCCAGTGACTCCTATATCCACAGGATGATCTGACCCACAGATTCCTATATCCACAGGATGACCTGGCCCAGTGACTCCTATATCCACAGGATGATCTGACCCACAGATTCCTAAATCCACAGGATGACCTGGCCCAGTGACTCCTATATCCACAGGATGATCTGACCCACTGATTCCTATATCCACAGGATGACCTGGCCCAGTGACTCCTATATCCACAGGATGATCTGACCCACTGATTCCTATATCCACAGGATGACCTGGCCCAGTGACTCCTATAACCACAGGATGATCTGACCCACAGATTCCTATATCCACAGGATGACCTGGCCCAGTGACTCCTATATCCACAGGATGATCTGACCCACAGATTCCTAAATCCACAGGATGACCTGGCCCAGTGACTCCTATATCCACAGGATGATCTGACCCACTGATTCCTATATCCACAGGATGACCTGGCCCAGTGACTCCTATATCCACAGGATGATCTGACCCACTGATTCCTATATCCACAGGATGACCTGGCCCAGTGACTCCTATATCCACAGGATGATCTGACCCACTGATTCCTATATCCACAGGATGACCTGGCCCAGTGACTCCTATAACCACAGGATGATCTGACCCACAGATTCCTATATCCACAGGATGACCTGGCCCAGTGACTCCTATATCCACAGGATGATCTGACCCACAGATTCCTATATCCACAGGGTGATCTGACCCACTGATTCCTATATCCACAGGATGACCTGGCCCAGTGACTCCTATATCCACAGGATGATCTGACCCACTGATTCCTATATCCACAGGATGACCTGGCCCAGTGACTCCTATATCCACAGGATGATCTGACCCACAGATTCCTATATCCACAGGATGATCTGACCCACTGATTCCTATATCCACAGGATGACCTAGCCCAGTGTCTCCTCTATCCACAAGATACCTGGCCTAGTAAGTCCTATATTCATACGATGACCTGGCCCAGTTACTCCCAGATCCACAGATGACCTGGCTCAATGCTTCCTATATCCATAGGACGATCTGGCTCAGTGCCTCTAATATTCACAGAAGACCTAGTTCAGTGATTCTGATATCCATAGCTTGACCTGACATAGTGAGTCTGGTGAACTCTTAAAAATACTGTGTCTGTCTATTGCTTTTGGCAATCTCATTCTTATCTTTGACTTCAATTGTGATTTTTTTTCCTAGAGAAGTTTCTAAAGGGCTTTTATTTTGATGTCCCTATATCACCAGATTATGGCCTATAAACTGGGCAGAGGTTAGTGGTGTTTGCAGGGAGAACTTTCTTCACCATCTTCCAAAGCAGCTGAGTGCAGCCTTCTAACACCCTATGCGTGAGTTATGAGTTTAGGCTCATTTAAATTATTTTCAGATTGGTGGCAGAAGACATTTCTTCACCCCACCACATGATATTACTTATATGACACCATTCTCTGTAGGCAGACTACATTTAACTTTCACTTTATATCAAACTTTGCTACACCTAACCACTACATAGGCAAAATGATTTTGGTGACAAATCTTTGATTCATTAATTCATTCAACTGAAGTGCATTTGTTCTAAACAAGGGAAGAAAACAGTCTCTCCTCTCACAGAGTTTATGGGAAAGACAGAGGGGAGGAACATGAGGATGTGTCGTGCAGCTGAAGCTAAGCCAACAAATGCAGAAATGAACAGTTGCCTTGAAAGTAAAGTCTGCTATAAGTGAGAGTAACAGAGGCAACTCATTTTAATTGGAAGTTCAGGGAAGGCGTCTTAAGTGCCACTTCAGAAAGAGACCAGCATGTACAAAGTTCCTGTGGTATGAAAGAAGCTGGGGTTGGGGGAGTGGGGGAGGGAGTGGCAGAGGAAGAAACAGGGAGAGATAAGCAGGGCTAGATTCAGAGGTCTTGTAAACAGAATTAAAAATTTTGAAATGTTATCTTAAAGGCAATAAGGAGCCTTTCAAGTGTTTTCAACTCTGGAATATGTCATAGGATTTAATGTACATTTCAAAAAATCACCGACTGCTGAGTAGATGATGAATTATCGGAGTAAACATAGAAATAGAAAACCCAGTGAGAAGGCTACTTCAGAAGCGAAGTGAGAAATGATGGCAGTTTATGGGAATTCAGAGAAAGTTGATTTGAAACTCATTTTGGAGGTTGGCTGCAATGACTTCAGTTGAGAATACAGGTCCTAAGTCACTGGCTGCTGTTTGAACCTGGTTTAGGCATGGGTTAGCTTTGTGCCTGGAAGCAGATTCATGTACCTTTCTAAGTTTCAGTTCCTTATTTATAAAAGAAGAATAGTTGTACCAATCCATACAGGGTTTTATTATCTTTGAGGAATAAATGAGGTACCCTATGAGAAAGCTCTAAGCACATTCCCTGACACATATTAGGCACTCAACTGGTTAAGCTACCAAGTAGCTATCCTGAGAACATTTCTCATGTCTGTTTCATTCACACTGCCAACCTCATGGCCTTCTTTTGAATGCTTTGTCATTACAGCCCTTTTGAAAATATTAAGCTGCTGCTGCTGCTCATGTTGACTACTAAAGAAAGGAAAGTGCCAGTGATATCCAGCTTGTGGCTTATATAAGTAGGGAGAAGGCTGATACGTTTGGAAATTGGAAAGATTAAAAGAGGATCAGCTGGGAGGGAGGTGAGGAATTATAAGGAGAAGTGGGAACATGTCCACTTTCAACATCTCACCTCATTTTACAGTCCTAGAAAGGGAGAAAACTTGTAGTAAACATTGAAAGAAATACCTGGTGGAGGAAGAGGGTTGTCTTCTGTCTGCATGTGGCTTCCAAAACAAGAAACCCAAACACACTGCAAAACGTGCCTCTGAGAAAGCCACCTGAAGTCCCTGACATGAACGCTTGACTCTCACTCACTCAGTACCAGCTGCTAACCTTTAGAAAGCACTTGGAAATTACAGAAGGAATCTGGCTTCTGAGAATGGCTGAAATAAGATCTAGGAGGCCACATGAGTGCCAAATATATTATTATAATAATAGGCGTAAGTTACTGTAACCTAGTGGCAAGAAGTGGAACTGGCCAACAAATAACATCATTTATTTTTGGATCTACAGTGAGCAAACCAGCAGAAATACAGGTCACTCTTGGCTGTGATACATTCTAATGTAAATGCTCCATTCACATCAGGAAAGAATCAGGAAGCCTGGAAAAGGTGTCCCGTCTATTTTAAATGTAAAAATTCAGGGGTACCCATAGAAGTACCATGAGAGGCCCTGAGGCACCATGGAAGGCATGGCTTTTGGAGAAAGACACACTTGGGAGGGAATCCCGATGTTGCCATTTCCCATGAGTATGACTTCGGACACGTTACTTTGCCCTCTGAGCTTTACTTTATTTGTGCGAAGAGGACATCTTGAAGAATCATAGTAAAGATCACATGAGAAAAATTACACGTAGAGGTGCATGGTGGCGATTAGATCAGCAAATTTCAAAGTTGAAAAGTTCCCACTTTGCACTTTGGTAAGCCTAAGCAGTTCATGGGATCTGTGCGCTGGTGCAAATTTTTGTCTCATGTGTTTTCCCACAGGAACTCAGAAGCCACAAGAGGGCTATGCAAGCAATCTGTGCAGGCATGACTATTTCAGACCAGTGCAAAAGGAATTGGCCCAGGGTTGACTATGGTTCACAAACGACTATACTGGGAATAGTGCGAGAGACTGGTTAGAAGTAAGAGGGACTAGAGACAGGGAGACCCATTTGAAGGTTATCATATGCTACAAACTGAATTGTGACCTTTCCTTGCCCCACCTCCAAATCCATATTTTGACGCCCACCCTCCAGTATGATGGTATTTGGTGGGTGGGGCCTTGGGATATAATTAGATTTAGATGATGTCATGAGCAGAGTCCTCATGATGGGATTCGTGCCTTCATAAGAAGAGAAACCAGTATGACTCTCTCTCTCTGTCACATGGGGACATGGTGGGAAAGTGGCCACCTGAAAGGTGAGAACAGAGCACTTGCTGGAACTCAACCATGCTGACACCATGATCTTGGACTTTTGGAGCCCAGAACTGTGAGAAATAAATTTCTATTGCTTAAGCCACCCAATCTGTGGTATTTTGTTATAGCAATCTGAGCCACTAAGACACTATGACAGCCAGGGCAATCTAAAGATGATTTGCCCCTGAATTTAGGCTGCAGGGATGGGGAAGATGTAAGAGAGTTGGCATCTATTTCACAGGTGAAACTGAAAGAGTCTAAGATCACACAACATAGAAATAAGGAAGAGAGATATCTCCCACATTTTTTACTGGAGCTACCCAAAAGAATGTACCACTGAGCAAAAGAAAAGAAGGAAGAGCAGGGGCAAGTTGGGAGTATGGGGCCCAGGAGGAGGTCTGTCTCAGGCACACTGAGTGGGGCTTCTTGTAGAAAAGCATGCTGGAGGTGAGGAAACATGAATCCTTAGGTTCAGAAGACACAGCCAGGCTGGAGGGTATGGATTTGGCATTGTCAGCTGGGGTTAGAACCGTCAGGGATGGTTCTCTGGGAATATCCGGAGAATGCACAGGCTTAGGAGAGAACAGGGCAAGCAGTACAAATCCATAATATAACAAAAAGGTATGGATCACATATTTTAACCTCCCCCCGACCCTGTCCCACACAGAACTGGAAACTGGTCCTAGAAACCATTTCTAAACATACCTGATCTTGTACCAGGGTACCTCCAAAAGCCCAGATACAAGCAAACACAAAATAGACTTCATAAACTTCTTTTGGGCTGTCATATGGGACATTTTCAGGAGTCAGCAAGCACTCCAAAAGAACACATATAGTCTAAAGAAAAAGAAATTATCAAATAAGGTGACATTTTAAAAATAGTAGAGTAAGTTAAAGGACATTTTTCTAACTCCACTTTATCCTTGACAGAGTATATAGTTTTTCCCAACTATGATCTGCTACATTGGGAGAGATGAAAACTGCCACCTTTGGTGTCTAAGTTAACAGGAGAAAACTTGTCACTTTCAACCAAAATGGTCTAGGTAACAGCAAACTATTTTTAAAAATAAAATTTTAAACAATTTAGTTAATAATCATGAAACAAACCAAAATGACATATAAGCAAAAAAAGGGGTATATATCTATATTTACTTTTTTATAAATAGGAAATCATTTTATACATGGCATTCTAACACACACTTCCTCAATTAAAAACTGTAGACCTCTTTCCTTATCAATAAGTGTTACTCTGCGCCATCACTGGAATGGATGCACAAGATTTCACTGGATCAACAGGCATTGATTTGACTATTTCCCTTTTGCCAGACATTTAGATAAACCGCTTTCCGTTAGTGCTTTGGCAGCCATTTTCCCACCTGTTGTCATAAATTTAGAATGCCGGGCGGGCAGCTTAAGCCTGGGGCAGTTTTTTGGACACCAAACTAAATTTAACCTTGAAAGAAATGCTGTTCAGGAACTCAGGAACGTTCTTCATACCCTCCAGGTAAAATGGCAACATGCTCAGGGGTCGGAACGAACCTCACCCATGCTTAGGGCAGTTACATCAGAAATGAGGGGGATGTGGCTGCTGCAGAGGCCTTCACCATGTGAAATAATAACCAGTAATGAACAGGTGTGGGGCTGGCTCTCTAAAGCACAGAAACTGTTGTCATTAATTAGCATTGCCGCAGGTCCTAAAAACTCAAGAGACTCTTTCTCCAGTTTCTTCAAGCAACAATAGATTTTCATCTCTATTACATACACAGCAGTGCAAGCGATCACAAATCAGGTAAGGACTGTGTGTGTGTTTTTCCTTGCTTGCCACAAAAGATGGGGAAATACTTTTCATTTAAATTGTTGAGGACCTATTATATTTTTAAGTCTTCTTTCTTGATTTCTATTATTTTGCAATGTGCCACATTTCCCAATTTGAAATAATCTTTTAATAGAATAAAACTCGCCAATTTGCTATTTAAAAAAACTGGAAAACTCTGAGGCTTTGTTATTTTTAATAGAAGCCATGTTGCTCTAAGGAACTGTTGAAATCAAAACAAAAAAGACTAAAGGGTCTCAATGTGATGCTATCTGCTGAGATGAATACACTAATAAGGTCATAAGCTGCTTCTATTTTCTCCCATGGTACTTGAAAAGCGTTTTGAGTTCTGTGTCAGCACTTTAAAAAATCATACTTGAATTCATAATCTGAAAGAGTTAATACACCTTCCCAAACTTAAAGAAATGTCATATATCAGAAAACAGAGTGCATTAATTTCTCAAGAGTGCTATTTCAGGTTACTATCTTCTTATACTCATTTTTGTCTCAAATATCCAAACCTGTTAGTAACAAGAGAAGAGAAATTACTCTATAAAACAACAGCCTAATAGGAGCTAAAAATTAAATGCCATTTTTGAATACTACAGAAGAAAGAAGTAGAGCAAAAGTCATATTAATTCCTACTGACCTATTTTCACACTGCTCTTGAATGGAATAGTTCACACCACAGAGAGTCACACAAATACACAAGTCAACTTGAGAAAGAACACGATCGTGCTTTTCTGCAAGTATTGCACCAGAGGAAGTCTAATTAGGCTAACTACATAATTAATTCATTATGAATAAATTCAGACCTGCTTTCAGAAATAAATTATACCTCAGATAATTACTGTCGAAGACTATCGTTTATTTAATTGGTGTGTGGATTATCCAAAAACCTGAACAGAATTTCTCTTCTTATTATGCTTGTGACTATTTCTAATTTAGTGCCAAATAAATTTGAAACAAAGTACTTAATGGTAACAAAGTACATAGAAAGCAATTTTGCTTCTATAGGAAAAAAAGGGTGTGGGGGTTTCTAATCTTAAACCTCTTTGTGAAGTTTTTTTACTTGTAAGGGCTGGGATAGTTTTTCTTCATGCTGAGATTAAGATCACAACCTTCATTTCTGTGTGCAGTGAATTATTTTCACTGGCTTCCATGACAACATATCATATGTATCCTTCACTCTTTCCAGCTGTCTCAAGATGAAGACCAAAAAAAATGTATCCCTAAGATATTATGAACTCTTCATCCAGACTGACACGCCTTCACAAATATTTTTGGGAGGAGTAGGTCTGTGAGTGATGGCACCTAGATGTTAGAATTCAGAGGCTTTCTCTTACTCTCTGGCTGGCATCTTTAATTGCACAGATTTATTTTATTAAGAAACATACTGGCCGGGTGCGGTGGCTCATGCCTGTAATCCCAGCACTTTGGGAGGCCGGGGAGGGCGGATCATGAGGTCAGGTTCTATTTTTCAGACCAGCTTGGCCAAAATAGTAAAACCCCATCTCTACTAAAAATATGAAAAAAAAAAAAAATAGCTGGGTGTGGTGGTGGGCACCTGTAATCTCAGCTACTCAGGAGGCTGAGACAGGAGGATCGCTTGAACCCAGGAGGCAGAGTTTGCATTGAGGCAAGATGGTGCCACTGCACTCCAACCCAAGTGACAGAGTGAGACTCCATCTCAAAAAAAAGAAAACATATTGAGCACCTTCTGTGGGAAAGTTATTTAGGAACCAGAAAAATAAGTAAGGCTATTGCAACTTTGTTCTTCTAATTCTTTGTTAAGATACTGGAAAGGAACACAATGATTCAACAAACACATATCTGGCACCTACTATGTGCTAAGAACTATCTGGGGATATTAAAAAAAAAATCAATGAAATATGGTTCCAACCTTCTTTCACAAGATTGTGAGAACAATCAGAGCACAAACTTAAATGCTAACAGAATGTAACAGACATTTACAAAAAGCTCCAGGGAACATGGCGGGTGAGAGCAGGAGGTTTGGAGCAATCTAACAATTCTGGAAAGCGTCTGATTTTCTTGGGCAAGCAAGAACTTCTGTTGTCTTGATCAACAAACAATACCACATCAGGACTGGAATGTTAAATGGTATAACGGAAGACAAACCTGCACCAGGCTACTCTCAGGAATTGAAGTGATGGTTTTAAAGCTTGTCCTCAGCTTATCCAAGCATGCGGGGACATATTTATCAAAAAGAATAGTCAAATTGGCCTTTTCTGATTGATGCCGCCTTCTGTCTATCCAACTGGCCACATACCTGAAAAGGAACACAGTAAAGCTTTTACTGAACACTAGGCTTGAAAAGCAGAATTTCACCAAGTCAAAAGCTTCCTCCTTCAACACAGCTTGGTGCAGCCCTTCAGGGACATGTTCAGTGAGTTCATTCTATTTCTCAAACTGCAAATATTTTTAAATGGCCCTTTAAAAACTCGTTTTAATGGCCATTTTACCGTAATGAAAAGACTGTAAAGGAAACTCCTAATAGCACTTAGAAGCCAAACATAATGGAATATAAGTAGGCCATTACTGAGCATTTATGAGGAAGTGCAGTATGTCATTTCCTGAAGGGGTGAAACTATTCCCAGAGCGTAGGCCTTATTTATGAAAACAGCTTGCGATTTTTCATGATTAATCTTGGCATCAATTATTTAGTAATGAGAAATCAAGTTACAAATAAAAAGATGAAAATTCCATAGGGGCTATTTCAAAGTGCCTCCTTTTCCAATGGACCAAATGTAACTCCAACCTGATAGCTGATAACGAGTTTTGAATAGGTGGCTCTGATAGGCCATTTCATTCCTCTGTGTGTGTGTGTAATCTGTGACAAAATGTTATGAATTTGATACAACAAACATCCTTAATTATTAGTAAAATAGTATCAGTAAAACAAAGCATGACTTAGTAGCACCTATAGTAGTCTATAGGGCAAACATGTATTAGGTTAAACTAATTAGGAAAAATAATCCCTCAGAAAGTTCTCATTAAGGATGAAGCAGGGGAATAAATGCATTTAGCAATCAGCAGAGAAGCAGTATGACCACAGATCAATTTTAGCAACACCTTGCTTTAAGTAAACCAGATTTTACATTTTGAGCATCAGAAGACATTAAGGCAAGATGATTGATTATCTGATAAAAGGTTCCTTTTGCTTTTCGAAAGGCTTCACAATACAGTTTATTAAATAGTCAGTGATGTTACAACTCTGATTAATTTACAAAATGTCAACTGTCAAAACTTCTTCGGGTCCGAGAGAAATGGTTTTTCAGTGGAAGTCCAATTGCATAAGAGTAACCTAATAATGTCTCTGTGTGGTGGTGATGGTGGGAACCACAGAACAATGGAAAGCAGGTGTCAGTGTCTGGGACAAAGGAATGAAGGCCACCCTCCCAGCTACTGACTTTACCCCATATCAGCTGCCAGAGTGCAAAGTGGAATCTTTGTATCTAGAGCTTATCAAGAAGGGTCAAAAGAGAATTTCCCAGGGAAAGGAAAGTCTAAAGTGAGACTGACTGGATATGCATCTCAGTCCCACCATTTTTTAGCTGTGTTACCTTGGGCAAGTTACTTAACCTCTCTGTGCTTCAATTTTCTCCTATGTAAATAGAGATGATGATCATCTAAACTTCCCGGGGTGGTTGTAAGCATTATGTAAGTTTGCATGTGCCAGTGCTTATATTAGTATCTGACAAATAAATTCTCAATAAACATTACTCATTAGTAGAGTTGGTGGCATTGGGAGACTCAGGTTCAGATCATGATTCCATCTCCCTTTGTATCTTCTAAAGGCAGTGGTGTCCTGTTGGGCGTAAGAGCCAGCATCCTGGGCTCTGATGGATATAACAAACCCACACTCACTTCCCAACCAAGTTTCTTCCAGGGCTCTGTGGAAGCAGAAACCATTGCAAGGATAACTAGAAGCAGCAACTTCAAAAAATAGCCCAGAAGGAAACAGTGCGCTTTGCACTTAACGTGTAAATAATAGCAACTTCACTGAGTCACAGCAGCAGCAGCTAAAGTCTCAGAGAAAATCTGCCAAGCCCACCAGCAAACGGTGCTATTGCACAAATTACTTCCAATAGTGGGATTTGCTCCAGAAAAAAGTCAGTTCAGCCAAACTGAGATGTGGTAGGAGCTGATTCTACTTGAGAAAAAAAGAGGGGGCAGACAAATCACTTCTACTAGGGATCAATCATACCACATAGCATAGGATCGAGAGTCAAAATGGCTATGTTACTGCATATGGACAGTTAAAAATTTTATGTAGAAATTATTGCTAAACTTTCATAATTTAGGAATAAAACAGACATTAAAAGACATTAAATTTAGAAGGAAAAACTGCTACCTTCAGCAAACACTGAAGCTTAGAGGTGCATTTGTATGCAATTCTTGCAACACTGCTTCACAAAAAAAATTCCTTATGATTTCTCAAAGATGCAACAGATGTAAACATGACTACTATTACATTACATACAATTGAAAATGGCATACTAAAATGACATATTTTTTCCTTGAATAATCACAGAAAAGATCACTCATACTGGTGCACACCTAAGGAAATGGCTACAGTGGAATGCCCCAATGTATCATCTTAATGCCAACACATAGGTCATTAACAAAGAATTTTGGCCTTTCAGAATTTGCACATGAGTCCTCCTGTCAGCAGCTCAGTTGTTCTTCCCTCCTCCAGAACTGCTCCAGGTTTATCAAGTGAAGTCTAAACCCTGTGGTTTCAAAACTTTCTAATGCAACCAAAGTTTTCAGACCTCTGAAAACTTTATTACTCAATCCTCTGGGGCTGGAACCTGTTGTATAGGATAGAAGGCATTGAAGAGACTGTAAGTCTACCTTCAGAGGAAGCTTGAAGGCCTCTTTCACCGTGGCCTGGAAAAATGGCAGACATTAGTGGTACATGCTGACTAGCAGTGTACACCAATTGTTTCTGAAGTTGCATGTTTATAAGTATATACAGTATCCAAAGATGAGACAGTGGAATAATTGTAGGGACATAAGACAGTAAGTTCATTTGATTTAGGTGCAAGTATTAGTGATGCAAAGCCAGAAGAATATTTTATAAGTTCAAGTAATAGAAGAAAGTATGATATAAAGCTGCAGCTCCCAAGAGTCATCTACCAGTATCTACTCTTCAGTAATCAGACTTAGGGATGAAGTGTCTTAATGCTTCCAACTTACTTTCATGTATTTCAGCAAAAATGGATGAAAGTAGCAAATATGCCTGTATGCCAGGGAAAGAGAGAGAGAAAGTAAATGTAGTAAAATGGTAACAATTAGTGATTGTAGGAAAAGCGTCTCAGGCTGCACATTGTACTACCTTTCCAACTTTTCTATAGTTTTCAACTTTATTTCAAAGTTTTGACTCTGAAACAAAACATTGACACTTAAGAGATTCACTTGGAAAAGTTAATAATTATGTCTATCTCAGAAGGTAACTGAGTATTAAGTGAATAACTATAGAGCTATCATTTTATATAATGACATTAAAGATGTTAAAGTATCCAATAACTATGGAGTGGAAAAAAATACCCTTTTTTCTAAAATAGCCATTTTGTGACTTACTGGAAGTGTATTGCAATGGGAGGTGAAAATATCAAAATACCTTTTAGAGAAGATTTCTATTGTTTTGGAAAATGACCTGGATGAATTCTTTGGTCACATATATGAAAAGTAATACCTACACATTAATTCTGGATAAAACAAAAACCTCCAAAAGTAAAATCTAATGGTGAAGACAGAGTTGTTAAACTCTCTTAGGAATATAAGTTGGCTGTCTCTCTAACTAACCTGTGATCGTTGATGTATTGCATGAAAATCCTTCTTTAAATAGGGATTTGTACCAAACTTTTGTTAGCACAAACCCCCATAGGCCAGTACCCAGACTGAATTACATATACCTTGGGAGCTGTGAGGTTCCCCACCGAAATCAGAGCACACTCAGGAGGGGTAAGGGGTCTCATGAAAGAAATAAACGCTGTCATATACTGCGGTGCCTGAGCTGTCTGTACAGAGGGAGTCAGGGCTGCTGGAGAGACTCCTTCAGGTAGCCCCCAAACAATAAGCATCCCAGGAGATAGAATCCTAGGTGTGGAAAGAAATTATTATCCCAAGAAAAACACTCCATTTGAGACTTTTGAAAATCACTCCTCCCCCCAAGCTAATCCAATAAAGCCTTGTCAAAAACAAAAGCCTGGGCATATGGCTCTACTATGCTGTAGAGATAAGGAGTCAGTACAGAGAGGAAAGGCAACCTGGAGAAGTACATCAGTTATGCATCCAGCAGGAAATGGATGTCATCCCCAAATCAGGATAATAAGGGAAGGATCAATAAAAGGACTAGTTACAGAAGTGTATGCAAGGAATAGAGAAAATGAAAGGGACAGTACCATGGCAAGAGGGTAATAACAAGGAATGTTTATTGTACCCATTCCTGGAGGGAAAAGAGAATGAAAGACTGCCAGAACCTCAAGGAAAGAACCTTGATGGAGAGATATAAGAAGAGCTGTGACCTGCAGTTTGAGGGACAGAACCATCCTGACATGACCCTGTTGGGAAGAAGAATAAATAGCCTGACCTCACTCTCCTCTCTCCTTCTCACTTCCTGCTAGGATTCTTCATTGGCCCAACCAACCAGGAGCCAGAAGGCAAGGAGCTCACTAATGTGATCCATACAGGGCAGCCCCTGGGGCACAGAACATGGTGAGATGAATGGAAAGTATGTTCACAGGGGTAAACAGGTTTCTGACATAAGAAACATGCCAGGCACAAGCATGGATTCATTGGCATAGCTCAGTGATTCCTACAGTTCCGAGTGGAAATGCTGGAGGTGACAAGTTACCACCAGGGTGAACAGTAGAAACTGCAAGCATTTGAGGAGTAAGCAACTGGGCACAATAAGTTGCTCTAAACCAAAGCACTGCAACTGTTCTTGTATGCGAAGTATATATGCATGAAACACGTAAAACCTAAGTGATTTCTTTTTATATAAGCGCTCCATGTAAGCTTTCATTATCTATTCACTTAACGATTATTTCCTGAGTTCTTAACATGTTGAAGATATGTGAACCAGGTAACAACCAAGTAAAAATGACAAAGGTATTCCAGTGCTTAAGTAATTATCTTTAAATTAGCCTGATTCCTTAGCCTGAAATTTAATTGCTAATACCGTCTTCAAGTAAGCATATATTTAGAATTTTATACTAAGATTTTAACAAGATCCATGCACAACTTTAAAAAGCACTGATTAAAAAGTGGGCAAAGAACTTATGTGAACATTTTACCAAGGAAGACATACAAACAGCCAATAAGCACATGAACAGATGTTCAACATCACTAATCATCAGGGAAATGCAAATTAAAATGAGATATCGCCCCATACCCAGGAACATGACTACTGTTAAAAAAAAAAAGGAAAATAACAAGTGCTGGCACAGATGTAGAGAGATTAGAACCTCATACACTGTTGGTAGGAATATAAATGAGTAGCAGCTGTGGAAAAAATATGTAGTTTCTCAGAAAATTATTAACATATGATCTAGAAATTATTCTTCTGGGTTCTACCCAAAAGAATGGAAAGCAGGGTCTTGAAGAAATGTTTGCACATCCCTGTTTACAGCAGCGTTATTCACAATAGCCAAAGGGCAGAAGAAACCTGAGTGTTCATTTATAGATGAAGGGGTGAACAAAATATAGTATATATACACAATGGAATATTATACAGCCTTAAAAAATGAAATCCTGGGCAGGGCGTGGTGGCTCATGCCTGTAATCCCAGTACTTTGGGAGGCCGAGGCGGGCGGACCATGAGGTCAAGAGATAGAGACCATCCTGGCCATGGTGAAACCCTGTCTCTACTAAAAATACAAAAATTAGCCAGGCGTGGTGGCATGCGCCTGTGGTCCCAGCTACTCAGGAGGCTGAGGCAGAAGAATCTCTTGAACCCGGGCGGAGGTTGCAGTGAGCCGAGATTACGCCACTGCACTCCAGCCTGGCGACAGAGTAAGACTCCGTCTCAAAAAAAAAAAAAAAGAAATCCTGCAATATGCTGCTACATGGATGAACTCTGAATACATTGTGCTAAGTGAAATAAACTTGCCGCAAAAAGACAAACACTGTATGATTCCATTCACATGAGGTACCTTGAGTAGTTTAATTCACAGAGACAGAAAGCAGAATGAAGGTTGCCAACAGCTGGGAGAAGGGGAGAATGAGGTGTTATTGTTTAAGAGATAAGTAAGAGTTTCAGTTTGGGAAGATAAAAAACTTCCAGAGACGGATGGTGGTGATAGCTGTGTAACATGAATGTGCTTAAGCAAAAATTATCAAAATGGTAAATGTTACATACACTTTACTACAATAAACGAAAAAGAAATACTCACGGATTCCAGCCCAGATCTTGTGGGTTCACAAACAGAATACCAGCTCTGGAAACAGTGGCCGGGGTTGCGCTCCTTAAGTGATGTATCTCAAACAGAAGCCTCATGGAGGGAGTGAGGGCGATGCGCTCATTGCTGGCGAGGGTCAGCACCTGGAGTGAGTAGCACAGTGGTGTACAGAGGTGCACTGTCACCCATGGGCAAAAGCAATGCTGCGAACATACAGAAGAAACAAGTACTTTCCCTACCAGAATTACCACAGGCTGTGCACTCAATGTCCTGAATCAGAAGTGCAGTCTGAATAAAGATCTAAGCTCCCCTCTGAGATCACCTGATTTAGCCTTGAGGAATAAACTCACCTAAATGGACTTGTAAATGCCAACCTTCAAATAATTGTAGTAATTTCATTACTAAGCTAAATAAAAGACATTTATTGTAAAACTTAATCACATGAAAAGACCTGTATACCATAAAAGAAACCTTTAGAATCTGAAATGCCACAATTATCAATTGTCCCAAGACACTCATACAAGTATAAAGATCCCAAACCTGTATTTTATGATGAACAGTGTCTCAGTTGAGAAAGCAGTAATTACTGTTAATTTAAGGGGGTTACTAACTCTCTCCTGGAGTAACGATGATTACTGATCTCTCTGCTGACCCCAACAAAAGACCCTGTGTTGCTTGAACGCTATCTCACAGACCTGTACCATCACCTTTATTTTTGCTGAGAAGGCTGGATTCACTGTGGCAGGAAAAAAAAAAAAAAAAAAAAAGCTTGGGAAAACTTTATTTATTTATTTATTTATTTATTTTTTTGAGACGGAGTTTCGTTCTTGTTACCCAGGCTGGAGTGCAATGGCGTGATCTCGGCTCACTGCAACCTCCACCTCCTGGGTTCAGGCAATTCTCCTGCCTCAGCCTCCTGAGTAGCTGGGATTACAGGCACGCGCCACCATGCCCAGCTAATTTTTTGTATTTTTAGTTGAGACAGGGTTTCCATGTTGACCAGGATGGTCTCGAGCCCTTGACCTCATGATCCACCTGCCTCAGCCTCCCAAAGTGCTGGGATTACAGGCTTGAGCCACCGCGCCAGCCCGGGAAAACATTTTAACTCAATCCATAGCCAGAGGAACTAGTTACTTTCAATTATCATATGTCACAAACTAGTTCTTTCATTGTCTAAGTATTCACACTTAATCAAAGATAAGATATAAACTGGGCATGGCGGCTCACACCTGTAATACCAGCACTTTGGGAGGCTGAGGTGGGCAGATCACAAGGTCAGGGGTTTGAGACCAGCCTGACCAACATGGTGAAACCCTGTCTCTACTTAAAAATACAAAAATTAACTGGGCATGGTGGCACATACCTGCAATCCCAGCTACTTGGGGGGCTGAGGCAGGAGACTTGCTTGAACCGGGGAGTTGGAGGTTGCGGTGAGCTGAGAGTGCACCATTGCACTCCAGCGAGACTGTGTATCTGTCTGTCTGTCTGTCTATCTATCTACCTATCTAATAATTTATGGCTACCTCTTAGAAAGTGGTAATGCTAAGATGTATAAACTAAATTCTTAGATTTGCATCTGAGAGTTCTCAGTAAAGGTGGCTGAGTTCAAAGAAACAACGAGAACATGTTCCTTGAAATTCTTTAATGGTGAAATTAACAAAATTATCAGGAAAGCAACACTTATTGAAATGGTAAGTACATAAAGAATACCAGGTTAATGAGCAAAAATTAGTATTAACATCAACAGGTGAATGAAACTCTTAATACACTAGGGATGTTATATTTAAGGTTTAGGACTGAAGTTTTATTCACCTTATTATCGTCCATTACAGTATTGAGTGATTCAATCCACATGGGATCAATATCTCCATCCAGGACTATCCATTTGGGTCCATCGTGCTTAAGATTTGCTTGTTCTCGCAGAATGAACGAGAAGAGACCTATAAAGTAACAGTAAACAATCCTAATATAGAATGTAGTTGAGTGCTGCTTACTTCTACCATAGACTGGTGTTACTCATCTTGGAAGCTCTTTTATTAACTAAATAAAAGCGAGTTTGCTGCCTCTTTCTTGTGGGCAGTGTGGAACTCCTTTTGAGCCACACATGGTTTCCAAATCCAGCTCTGTTATTTACCAGTGTGCAAGCTTCACCTCCCTGAGAAGGAACTTCCATGACTGAGCTTCCCCATATGCCAGACAGAGATAACAAAACCTTCTGTCATGAACAGCTGTGGGGATTTACAGAGGTTAATGTACATAAAACTCAAAACTTACACCAAGCCATGATCCTTCTTCACACACATATGTTAAGTATCCATTTAAGATCAAATATTTGTTTATTTCACCTTTCTCCATTTTGCTATAACAATTTTCAAGGGCATAATTCTGAAGCTAAAGCACTCAGAAGCACTGTATGTCTCTTACAGGACTGTGCACATTGGGATAATAACACATCATTCCTTAACAGGATGTATATACAAAACCATTTTACATCTGTAGTCCTTTTTGCCATTATACATATCTAAGCATTGTGTATTTTATGTGACATATTTAACAGCTGTTAATTTTTCAAGCTCTAGTATAATTAATAGCATTGTGAGTAAAACTGCTTTGATGCATGTATGTAGAATGTTTCCTTTATGAAGCATTGTGTGTCCAAAGTGACAGTATCTAATGGAACCTGCCACCATGATTCACAAAGCAGCTACCAAACTTTTCTAATAGTTCCAACTTTTTCAGCCTAAACAGATATGGTTCTCTCCCTGCCACAGTTCTTTACAAAAAGACAGAAGCGACGCTGAGACAGTAAAAGCTTTCCCACAGAAAATGGAGTGTTCACAAGAGGAGAGGATAGAGAATGATGAAGGGTGTCCTGCTTTATTATTCTTTTTAAAATTTCAACTTTTGTTTTAGGTTCAGATGATGTGCAGGCAGGTTTGTGGCATGGGTATACTGTGTCACACTGGGGTTTGGGATACAAATGGTGCCATCGTCCAGGTAATTAGAATAGTACCCAACAGGTAGTTAGTTTTTCATCCCCTGCCCCTTTCCTTCCCTCCCACCTCTAGTAGTCCTCAGTGTCAATGGTTCCCATCTTTAAGTCCACATGTATCCAATGTTTAGCTCCCATTAATAAATGAGAACATGCAGCATTTGGTTTTCTGTCTCTGCGTTAATTCATTTAGGATAATGGCCTCCAGCTACATCCATGTGGCTGCAAAGAACATGATTTTGTTCTTTTTTATGGCTATGCAGTATTCCATGGTGCATATGTACCATGTTTCCTTTATCTAATCCACCATTAATGGGCACTTAGGTTGATTCCATGTCTTTGCTGTTGTGAATAGTGCTGCAATGAACATATGAGTGCATGTGTCTTCTTGGTAGAACAATTTATTTTTCTTTAGGTATATACCCAGTAATGGGATTGCTGGGTTAAGTGGTAGTTCCATCTTAAATTATTTGAGAAATCTTCAAACTGCTTCCCACAGTGACTGAACTTATTTACATTCTCACCAAGTCTATAAGTGGTCCCTTTTCTCCACAGACTCACTAGCATCAGTTGACTTTTTAATAATAGTTTTTCTGACTGGTATGAGATGCTATCTCATTGTGATTTTGATTTACATTTCTACCTTAGATCTGCCATCAGAGAAGTCCTTTCTGATGTGACATTTGACCAGATGCTAAAATAACATAAGGAAGCAAGTCATGCAGGCATCCAGAAGAGTGTCACTGATGGCAGGAACATGAAGAGCTGAGGCCCCACAACAGGATCAAGTTCAAGGAACAGCAATGAAGTCAAAATGAATGGATTATAGTAAGTGGTGGGAAGTGAAGTCAGGGATGGTGGGATTTGGGGACAGACAGGGATCCAATCACATAGAGCCTTATAAGCCATGGAAAGGGATGGATTCTTAAGGCGATTGGAACCCACTAGAAATCAAAAGCAGAGAAGTAACATTTGAAGCCTTCTGTCTGCTGTAGGTCAAATGAACTGCAGGGAAAACAGCAGGAGGAGGTGCCCAGCTGCTGTAGTACAGGTGAGACATGATGGTGGCTTCAACTAATGTGGAGAAGGTGAGAAGAACTGGAATTCACATACATTTTAAAGATAAAGCCTATAGGATTTGCTGTGAGGTTGGACGTAGGGTGTGAGATGGAGAGAGGCCTCAAGAATGATGCCAAGGTTAGTGCGTTTATTGTAATAGGAAGTCATAACAGATTGTCATAAAGGGACCTTTTTGTTTACAAATACTTTCAGGGCAGGAAATATGCCCTACTGACTTTTGTCCCCCTCACCTGGAATAATGCCTGCCTGAACTTCAGTCAGTGTCTTGTATCAGGTACTTTAGAGACATTCCCTGAGGCACTCATGTGAACTTCGCTCCTGATTTACAGGGAGCCCTGACATAATTGACATGGGATAAAATACAACAGCTCTGAGTGCAATTCTGCTGAATGCAAATCAAGTACTTATTCAAATCTAGTTTCAATGTATACATTATAAATGCTGTTGTGATCTGCCATATTTCCAATAATGCCACCATATAAACAGTAAATCTGTGACTATGACTAAAATTAGCTCATATTGAAAAATGGCTCTCTGGAGAGAAAAAAGAAAACTTTAGCACTTCTAAAGAGGAAATACTACTTACCATCTTTCCATTCTCGGGTAACATGATGTATGAAACCAAAGAGTTCATCTGTTGTCACGGCTTTAGGGTTTAAGTCATTCCAAACCGGCTTCCGTTTCATGTTAACATATGTTTGGTTCAGTGTTCTCAAAATCTGAGGGGAAGAAGAACCAAATAAATTAATACTAACGTGAGGCAAACAGAAAGTTAAAGATTTCTGACGGGTTTTTCTTATTCATTATATGTTCCTAGATGTTCTGTGTGCGCTAAGATTGAGAAGGAAAAACTGCACATATGTGCATTTCCATTACCATCTTGAAAAGCTTCATCTTACAAATGCTCAGCGAGACAGAATCAGCTCACTGGATTCTTTGAACCATTTAGACTAAAAATCTCATTTGAGATTTTTAACCATGTGTGCAAAGTGCAGGGCCATACATAAATAAGCATTCATGTTGATTATAAAATCTACCCTGCCTGCATCAGCAAGATTGGTATTTCTCAAAATGTAGCCCACATCAGAATTGTTTGGAGGGTAGTAAAAATACAGATTGCTGGGCCTATTTCAGTAGGTCTGAGGTGGGGTCAGTAATGTGCAGTTCCAACAAGGCATCACGGATGCCAATGATACTGGTCTGGCCATGCTTTGAGACTCAGCGACTTAGGGCAGTGGTTCTCAGAAAGAGACTGCCTTGACTTGGGGGAAGAAGTGGGAAAGGGCTTCTGGGCATCTAGTGGATGCAGGCCAGGGAGGGTGCTCAATATCTTTCAGTGCACAGGATAGACTCCTACAGTGGAGCTATCCAGTCCAGAATGTCAACAGTGGTGAGGCTGAGAAACCCTGATCCTGATAATGGAGGAAAAGCCTTGACAATGAGAACTCACAGAACAGGTGCTCAGTGTATGACTACTGAACTAATTGATACTTTAACTCAAATACCTGCCGTGACTCTCCCTTTTGCTCTCTTTGAAAAGCCATGACTTTCGTCTTAGGTATTTATCATGCTGAGCTACTCAGAGGGGTTTTGAAGAACTGATAAACAATTGGCAAACACTTTGAAATGGTAAGATGCTAAAGAATGTCACCCTGAGCTGCAGTGCTCTGGGTATCTTGGCTTGCGAAGATGTTGAGTAGAACAGAACTGGCGAAGACTAGATCAAAGAAAGTAAATGCCTTAGAATATTAAGCTTGTATTTTTAGAAACCATTCATCTACTGGAAAGTATAGAATTATCCTTCCTTGAACTGTGGCCTACATCTGTAACTTACTCTAACAAAATAATTACAGGTCTATCAGTTATGTATTTTAATATTTCATTTATCATATTCTTCACTAGAAAAATCTCTATACAGAGATTGTTTTTCTCACAATTTTTCCACTTTGGGCTCTGATCTAAATACTAGCAAATTCCATATACTGCCATGCAGTAAAATCTCACATGCTCAATCTGATTATTTTTAGTTGTTGGCTACCAAGTATGTTTATACCCAAGCATCCTGAATTAAAATGCATGCAGTTCTGCCTATACCGTCTGCCAACCAAGAAAATAAGTATGTTGCCAGGACTGTCGGTAAGATAAAACAAAATCAAGCAGTGAACTAAAAATGGGGATCATAATACCCATAGTATAGCATTGTTGTGCAGAATAAATCATACACAATGCACCTAGCACAGTGCATAATAGGTACCTCAAAAATGTGGTTTTTGCCATTCCCTTTTATTTTTAAGTTTTGTTTGGCCATATAGAGGGTTACATTTCTAAGGGAGTACTGAAGGAAAATATTTGGGTTTGTTTTTCTTAATGATTTGGGGAGGAAAGTCAAGAATGACTTGGAAAAGATAATAGGTATGATAAATGCGGCTACAGCCAATGAAATCCTCCAGCCAGATATCTTATTCCACAGTCTCTTAATATGTTTATCTTTGATAAAAGAATCCAAGCACAAATGTATTGAAAGGTGTGTAAGGCAGGAAGGCATCCATCAGAATGCCCGTATCTGATGCTAAACATCTCATGTGGAAAGCTCAATCTTCATCTTGGCTTGCTTTTCCTATGTCAATGCAATGCTCTATTTGCTTCTCATTCTCCAGCCCCCAACCAATATCAAGAAAAACAATGTTAATTGATCAAGCAGCAAGATTATAATCTCAGATTCTGAAACAAAATTATGGTGGGCTTCATGGAGGGGAATTCTTTTGAGGAGCATTGCAAATAGACCAAACCACAATGACAACAAATGTTCTTTCTATGGCTGAAAGTTATTAGGCAATTTACTATACCTTACTCTTTCCTGTGCCTGCATTTCCAACCACGAAGACCGAGTGCCACACAGCCAACAGTTCCTCGAGCTGGACAACCTGCAGAGCAAACAGTTGGTCACGGGTTTCCTTTAATGAGTTGGTGACAAAAAGATAACCTACCCATTTTTGCCCAGTTCTTCCTTCCTTACACCCAAGCCAGCCCCCACTGACAACAGTATGTTCAGAAAAAGTTCAAATAGACCGTAAGTGCAAAGTATAGTTTCTCCTGAATCTCCCACGTAGACCACAGGGATGAGACTGAAGCTAAACCTTGATTTTATGCAGTATTCAGTATATGGCAGGAGTTATTTACAAAAATCATTAACTCTCCATGAAGTTTTGAACAAACATTGTAAATAGCTAATCACGCTCTATAACTGAGTAATGATTTATATCCTATAAAATATCTAAAATGGATAATGTATATAGTGTCTAATGTCCATGCATTCACTGAATTCAAATTGAATATTAATATACCCAAGCCTTTGATATGTTAGATATCTACCTAAGTTATTCTCAAACATGTTGTCATTCTTCCCTCATTAAAAGCATGCACTAATGATTTTACTTTCAATAATCTCTAAAAAGGAGGAAAGAACAAAGTAAATTTTTAGTTTATGTCTCCAAGAACCAACTTTTGTAACCTAATTAAAAATATGCTTACATTTAAAACCTGTGACAATCGTATCTATGTTTTCACCTTACAGAGTGGGGCTACTAAAATATTTACTAACGTTTACTAAACACTGCCATATGAAAATGCTTGAAAGCATATAGTGAGATCCTATGAAGGTTAGGGTACAAGTTAATATCTTGCTTTAGTATCAAATAGCCACAATTATTTCCACTGACATCCCAATAGCTGCCATGAAAAGCAAATGCTCCTTTTACTTTCAGGATGAAGCTCTCTTCAGGCTGCAGGCGGAGCTCCAGGGTAGACTGCCTGACCATCTGTTCAAAGTGCAGCGTCCTCCTCCGGGGCACATCCAGGGCTGGAAACAGGTCACCGACCAGGCCCAGAAACACTGGGATGTCGTCAGTCACTATTTTAGGCATATTGAAATCCCTTAATGCTCTCATGAGTACCTAGAAAAAAACCATTTTATACAAAAGCCAATACAAGGTCTAACACACCTAAAAAACTAAAGATGTTTGTTATTTTTAATCCTAATATGGGAAGCATGAGGTACTGTTCTCCATTAAGATGGCATTCTATTAATAGGGAGGTTAAATGTCTAAAATTGATATATCAGAACATGAGAAGAGTGAACTGATACAATGGACATCCCTTAGAGTAAGAACAGCAAGGAGGCCTTTTCCTTCCCGCCAATGATCTGTTTTGATCTTCAGGCAGAATCTAAGGGCATTCTCTCTTGAATCCTCAAACTCCAGAATTTAATCAAACCCATCAGATCATTTTGGCCACAGTACTCTGAGAATTTAAGAATGAAAATCTTAAACATTTTTAGATTTTTTGTTGTTTATTTATCTTGGCTGAAAGGCAAAGATTTGAAAAGCAGTAACTCAAACATCAGGATAACTTTTACAGAAAGAGCTAAGCATTTCAACAAAAATAAAAAAAGCAAGAGAACAAATAAATGAAAGAAAATTTGCACCTAGTACTAAATTATGACTAAGAGGAAAAGAGAAAAATATTGACAAAGAAAAGTAGAAAATCACATGATAAATATCCCTCAGTTTAAAAAAAGACAGTACATCAAGGTTTTTTTTTGTTTTGTTTTTTTGCTATTTCTCAGGTCATACTGCACATACACATGGTGATACATATTTATATGGTTTGGACTTGTGCCCCACCCAAATCTCATGTCAAATTGGAGGAGAGCCAAGTGGGAGGTGACTGGATCATGGGGCGGATTTCCTCCTTGCTGTTCTTGTGATAATGAGTTCTCAGGAGATCTGCTGGGTTAAAAGCGTGTGGCACTTTCCCCTTTACTCTCTCCCTCCTGCCATCATGTGAAGAAGTTCCATGCTTCCACCTTGACTTTCTCCATGATGGTCAGTTTCCTGAGTTCTCCCAGTCAGGCTTTCTGTTAAGCCTGCGGAACTGTGAGTCAACTAAACCTCTTTATGAATTATCCACTATCAGGGAGTTATTTATAGCAGTGTGAAAATGGACTGAAAATGCATATGCATTGCTCTCACTACTTATTTAATAGGAAAAAATGCATGATGTGTTATCATTTCTTTCCAGGAAGGACAGCAGAACATTTCACTAGTAACTCTGACCAACCAACCAAGCGTTTCACAGGTGTTAGGAAACTACCCTTCCTGTTTCGTTCTGCATGCCCATCTTACATCTCATGAAATGGATGTACTTTCTCCCATATGTCTTCACTGACTTTCCAGGATTAATATCCCAACTCAATCAGATTTCTTAAATGTTCCTCAGAGGAAATCAAACAGTGATTACTGAATTATCTGATTATAACTGTCAAAATACTTTTTGTGGCGGATATTTCAAAAGTACTTATACAAACACATGTCCTTTTCCAGATTCCTTTCTTTGTACTCAGAAACACTTGTGACCTCTTATAAGTAGTACCACTCTTCAACTTTCCTGCATTAACAATAGATGTTATGCTTGTTAAAAGTTGTGCTATGCACACCCCAGCATCCAGGCATATACTTTCACTTCTGTGAAACTGGCCAGTTACTCACTCAGCAAAATCCTATTAGCATTGTAGTACCTGATCTTCGGGTCTGTTTCTGTCTCCTCGTTTCAGAGAGCCAGCCACAACCAAAACAGATTTAATAGCACGAAGTCCCCAATCATAATGATCCTAAAATCAAAACAGGTTGATTTTCTCAAAAACTGAGGGAAGAGGATTCTCATCCCAGAGGTAAGAGCTGAAAGTTTAAAGAAAGCAGTTCACATAAATATACACTTTAATGATTCAAAATACCATTTTCTTTTCCCCTTTGAAATTGTGAAAAACCGTGTCCCCATAGTGTTGTCCTGTTTCTTTCACCCGTTTTTCTGCCTCTGTCAGCAAGTCTCTCCTTTCTGTAGCGCTTAACTGCAGCATTTGCGGAAGGCTCCGTCCGCCTCCCTTGCTGGAGTCTCTCAACAGACAGGCTAATGCAGTAGCTCAACAAATTCCATGTCATCTCCAACCTGAAGCTTATTTCTCCAGCTCAGCTGGTTTCACCAAGGGCCCTGATGTTCTACCTCTTCCCAGACTTCAATCTCTAATGGCCCTAATTACTCCACTTCCTAATCACTCAGACACTTCAGCCTAGATGCTGGCACATAATATAATAAAAACCGTGTCATGAGGATTCAGTTATATTTTTTTGAGACTTCAACATTATCCCTAATGAATATTCCTCCCACAGGCTCTGAGTTCCTGGAGGATCTCAGAATATCACTTCTGAGATTGGATACAATTGCAACTCCATGCTCCCTGGGTCCAATTACATTTTTTTCCCTGGCCTTTTCTCAGGATAAACTTATTTCCCATATTCACCATCTCCTTGGGCCTAGCACAGTGTACGGCACAGGGCGGATGCTCTGTAAAGGTATCCCGAATGAACCAACTGCTTACACAGGACTGGCCTTCTCTCTTTTGCTGTCCACCTATAATCTACATAGTAACAACCTTTCTCTCAAATGTCTCTCAGCTGTGTCTGTGGGAAAAACACTTTACTTCCCAGAACCTCAGAATCATCAGCTATAAAAAGGCAGATAAAAGCACCCACCTACTTTATAAGTGGTTGTAGGAGTAAAGTGAGTTAATGTGAATACAAATTGTGTGGGCACTGAAACAATATTACATGTGTAAATATCCTATTTACTCCATTAGTGGATAATAAAATCAATTTAGTAGGTCTCGACCATCATTTTTGTCTGTAATAAAATAGACAGAATGAAATGTAAAACACCAGGGTATGATGCAAATAAGGGCAAAAAGTGGCTGGGTATGGTGGCTCATGCCTGTAATCTCAGCACTTTGGGAGGCTGAGGTGGGTGGATTGCTTCAGCCCAGAAGTTCCAGACCAGCCTGGGAAAAATGGAGAAAATCCCATCCCTGTAAAAAATACAAAAATTAGCCGGGTGTGGTGGTGCATGCCTAAAGTCTCAGTTACTTAGGAGGCTGAGGTGGGAAGATTGCTTGAACCAGGGAGGTTGGGGCTGCAGCCAGCCATGATCACATCACTGCACTCCAGTCTGCATAACAAAGTGAAACCCTGTCTCAAAACAAACAAACAAACAAACAAGAGTAAAAAATCATTTGAAAGCCACTGATGGAGTAGGATGAGGCTTGAAGAGGAAAAGGAAGAGGAAGAACCAGTTTTTTTCATACTTTAAGCTCTGGGATACATGTGCAGAACGTGCAGGTTTGTTACATAAATATACATGTACCATGGTGGTTTGCTGCACCCTCAACCTGTCATCTACATTAGGTATTTCTCCTAATGCTATCCCTCCCCTAGTTGCCCACAACCCTGACAGGCCCTGGTGTGTGATGTTCCCCTCCCTATGTTCATGTGTTCTCATTGTTCAACTCCCACTATGAGTCAGAATAGATGGTGTTTGGTTTTCTGTTCTTGTGTCAGTGTGCTGAGAATGATGGTTTCCATCTTCATCCATGTCCCTGCAAAGGACATGAACTCATCCTTTTTTATGGCTGCAGAGAATTTCATGATGTATATGTGCCATATTTTCTTCATCCAGTCTATCATTGATGGGCATCTGAGTTGGTTCCAAGTCTTCGCTATTGTGAATAGCGCTGCCATAAACGTATGTGTACATGTGTCTTTACAGTAGAATGATTTATAAACCTTTGGGTATATACCCATCAATGGGATTGTTGGGTCAAATGGTATTTCTGAGAGCCAGAGTTTCAAGCTGGGAGGTGGTTATGTTATTGCAGTGACAAAGAAGAGGATGCAGAAGAAATTCTGGAAAAGAGATTTCAGAGTACTTGGTGCCTCTGCTAAACATTTAAACAACGCAAATTGCTAAAATTATCTTCATCATTTTCATTAAATCATTCCATTGGCCAAAAAATGTCTACTATTTTCCCAAATTAATTTCTGGAGCACAGAAAGGTATCCAAGAATTGTGTTCCTAACCCAGCTCCTTCTGTCCTGGCCAGACTTTTTCCAGCTCATCTCATCTGTAACATTTCTGAGTTAGCGAACTCTTTCCTTCTTTGTTCTTCCTGTACTCCCAACACCTTCCCCTTGTAATTGGCTACAGGTTTGTCCTAGACAGAATTAGGAAGAACTGAAGTCAAATCTTGCCCTTACCACTTGTTAGCTATATGGACTCAGGGTTGTTTTGCTCAGTTTTCTCATCTGTATAACAGGGCTAATAAAAACAAACTTGTAAACTTCTTTTGACAGTTTTGTAATATAACACATGGTACCCATTCAGTAAATATTGGTTTCTTTCTTCCCTGAAAACTCGAATAATCTTTTCATTCTCCATTGTCTCCCATTTTTTATGTCATGTAAACTGAATTATCTAAATTCTTCAAGGTCAGAAATCTGGGTGTTTGTTTTGTATCTTACCCATTCATCATGGTCAGCAATAAGCACATTACTTAGATATAGTAGATGCTCATTAACGTTTAAATGTCACTACTGAAAATGGATATAGTTGAAATTCCACATTCCCTGGACTCTATTACAGTTTTTCTTTTGACTTTTTACCATTACAAAATTCAAATAGGCTTGGTGAGGTGCGGTGGCTCACACCTGTATTATCAACACTTTAGGAGGCTGAGGCAGGCCGATTATGAGGTAAAGAAATGGAGACCATCTTGGCCAACAAGGTGAAACCTCATCTCTACTAAAAATATAAAAATTAGCTGGGTGTGGTGGTGTGCACCTGTAGTCCCAACTACTTGGGAGGCTGAGCCAGGAGAATGACTTAAACCTGGGAGGCAGAGGTTGCAGTGAGCCGAGATCATGCCACTGCACTCCATTCTGGCAAAACAGTGAGACTCTGTTTCAAAAAAAAAAAAATTAAAATAGGCTCATTAAAAAAATAGATTGTAAGAATAAGGAAAATAAAAAATATCCATAATCTTATCCAGAGACAACTGTTAAAAATTATGATTCCACCCCCCATGTAAATTCAGTTACCACAAGGATAAGTTTCTGTCATATTCCATCTATATTGTGCTCTAACAATGAGCAAGTTAAAATGAATACCTGGCAATAAGGCAACTGTGTGGTTATAACTGTGGTATTTTGATACTTCTTTTTTTTTTTTTTTTTGAGATGGAGTCTTGCTCTGTTGCCCAGGCTGGAGTGCACTGGCACGATACTTTCATTTTGGCTTCAGAATAACATCACCAGTAATTAATGAAATGTTATCAAGAGACCAAAAGTCAAAAATGACCATATGGCAAAATTGTAAAATATTGATGCTTATATGTAATTTCTGTGGCTTATCAGCAACTTCAATAAATCTGTGAGAAGCTTATGATTGGTGAGTGGAGAGTATGTCAATTTGATCCATTTTAGAGACAAGGAAATTGGAGAGAAAACATTTAGAAGAACAAAAAACAGTCAACCCTACCTTTAAATAAATAATTACCAATAAATGAGAATAATTTTAACATTCCTTGAGATATTCTTCAGAAAATTAGCCTTGCCTTACTCTTATGAGCACTCTTGCCCTATTGTACTAGAAAATAACATTTTCACGAAGAAAGGGAGGCCACATAAAATTCCATTTATAATTACAGAATTGAGAAAGTTAAAGAAAATCACATAGCTCATTGATTTAAAAATGTATTAATACAAATAAAATGTCAGAACTCAAATGTCTCAAATTTAATTCCAGAAAAAAATAAAAATTATAAAATAAGCTTTTCAAAATTTATAGAAAATATTTCTAATGTCAGATCAAATGGTAGTTTTAGGTTTTTTAAAGGAATCTCCATTTGATCCAGCAACCTCACTACTAGGTATCTGCCCAGAGGAAAAGAGGTCATTAAATGAAAAAGACACCCGCACACACCTATTTCTAGCAGCACAATTTGCAATTGCAAAAATATGGACTAGCCTAAATGTCCATCAACCAGTGAGTGGATAAGGAAAAATGTGGTATATATATATATACCATGAAATACTACTCAATCATAAAAAGGAATGAAATAATGGCATTTGCAGCGACCTGGATGGAGGCAGAGACCATTATTCTAAGTGAAGTAACTCAAGAACAGAAAACCAAATATCACATGTTCTCACTTATAAGTGGGAGCTAAGCTATAAGGATGCAAAGTTCTAAGAATGATATAACGGCTTACAGGAACTTGGGGGAAAATATGGGAGGTGGGTGAGGGATAAAAGACTACACACTGGGTACAGTGTCCACTGCTCAGGTGATGGGTGCACCATGATCTCAGAAATCACCTCTAAAGAACTCATCCATGTAACCTAAAAACACCTGTTCCATTCAACTACTGAAATTTAAAAAGAACGTACAAATATTTTTTAATGTTTAATGTAATCTGAATAATAAATTACCTAGAATCCATATTTCAAAAGCTTTTTCAGTGGTATATAAAAACCAAGAAAACATAACGAATGATCCCTCACCTGCTTGGAGAGGAGCTCCTTGCAAAGTGTGTACAATGTAATGAACTTTCGGGCTAATGAGCGCGCATCCACAAAACCTTCAGCAACTAACATGATTTCACAGATTAGCTCAATGTCAGGGGCCACCATGGCACAGGGTCTAAAAAGTAAATATGAATTTTTTTGTTTTAAAATGTGACAGGGTGATAAGTACAAATTACTGAAATCAAGTGATTAATTCATACCAACATTTTAACCATTCCTAAGCAGGTCATAATTACGTCTGTCAATCACAGCTATTAAGAGCCTTCACTTCAACTAAAAAAATGTCCACTCATTACTGAATGCAAAAAATGAAAGCCTGGAATGACAGAAGCACAGGCATAGGAGTTCAAAGAAAATCCATGAATACATTCTGTAGACTTCTGGTATAAGTTGTCACTGCAGAAAGAGGAATAGTGATGTTTTGAGCTAGGGGCCAGCCTTTTCTGTGGTGTGCTGGTTAATGTCTTGACAACCAGCTGTCTAAAAAATCGCATTTGCTTATTTTCAATGAATAAATCCTTCTACCATGGCTGATTCCCAGCTACCAACACAATGTCACGAAATGTTGAGCCGAGAAGTATACCACCATACAGACACAAAAGACAGAAATAACCTCAAGAGCATAAATATCAGTAAAATAAATAGTTATAAAGTGACCAGTTTGGAGCATTTATCACCTTTGGTTTTTTTTTTTAAGTTTTTAAAGACGGGGTTTCACCATGTTGGTCAGGCTGGTCTTGAACTCCCGACCTCAGGTGATCTGCCTGCCTTGGCCTCCAAAGTGCTTGGTTTACAGGCATGAGCCACTACACCCGGCTGATCACCTTTGTTTTTAATACAATTTATTGAATCAAAAGTTGATAAAATTTAGTTTTCATTAAACTGAAGAATCAACTCAGAAAATTCATGAAGGCTGAACCATCAGCTCTTGAGAGCTTGTACCAGCTGTCTCCAGCACACTACAGCCTAGGGCCAACTTGGATAGACTTGTAAAGGGCACATTTAGAAAAACATAGCTTCAAATCCCCTTTCTTTTGGAGAGGGACTAAAAAGTCCCTCTCCAAAGACAGCTGCTATTCTCAGCAACGTTTGAAAAAATTCCACCTAACTGAAGTTAAGTGCAAAGAAGAACAGTATATAACTAAATAAGCTCATTATTTTATACTTCCTAAAGTATACATTCCAGTAATACCTAGCCAACTGGTTTTGTAAATATAATTATAGCCTATTTCATGCAAACCCGATTTTAATCCTGAACATCAAATCTTAAAGTATCTTTGGATTTAGGTTATTCAATACCTCTTATATCTTAACTGACCTCATTTTTTTAACACATTTATTACTCTTCATCACATGATGGAAGATGATGAAGAGTAAATGGAGAGAGAAAAAGCTAGTATATCTATATATTTTATACCTACATTAATATAGACAACTAATTTTTATTGAGCACTTCATACCACATAGGGTGCTAAAATCTTTTTATGTACTCTCTCACGTAACCACCGCAACACTATGAAGTGCCCATTCCTCTTTTTATTTTACAGAGATGCAGACTGATGTTCCCCGAAGATCAAGCACAGGCTGTAGGCCTCCTGGTTGGTAAGTGGTGGAATCAGAACACTCGAAAGGCGCAAGCATACGGCTTCCATGAGTGAATAATGCTTTCATCTTCCATTAATTATTAAAAATTCACAAAACAATTTCAAATTTCAAGTCCCAAATGAAAGACAGTATGAGATAAGTTGGGTCACAAATAGAATACCGGAAAGGCACACAGTTTTCCAACAAAGCTATTCTGTAGTTATTACATTTATTTCTAGAATGGTTATTCTCTCTCTAGATTGTTTTTTTTTTTTGAGGCGGAGTTTCGCTCTTGTTACCCAGGCTGGAGTGCAATGGCGCGATCTCGGCTTACCGCAACCTCTGCCTCCTGGGTTCAAGCAATTCTCCTGCATCAGCCTCCTGAGTAGCTGGATTACAGGCATGCACCACCATGCCCAGCTAATTTTTTGTATTTTTAGGAGAGACGGGGTTTCACCATGTTGACCAGGATGGTCTCAATCTCTTGACCTCGTGATCCACCCGCCTCGGCCTCCCAAAGTGCTGGGATTACAGGCTTGAGCCACTGCGCCCAGCCTCTCTATCTAGATTTTTTTCAAGAAAGATAGACATTAAAAAATTACTATGCTAGAGAAAGCTGTTATGAGGAAAGGAAAACATTCAATACAGGATGGTAGAATAATTAGTTAGAATAATTGATTAACTGCTAGGGTAAATAACTGTTTAAACACTCATTTCATATTACCAACCAAAATAAATTCTCATCAGATGAATTACATTTAATAAGTACAGTAACATTATAAAAATTAGAAGAAAATACCAATAAAATTATGGTTAAATATCTAGATGAATGGGCAAGCGAACTCCAGGCTTAAAAGAATGGGAAAAGATCACACTAAAAACTGCAGAGGTTCTTAGAATATATGTGAAGTGGAACATTATTATTTTGAAAGCACATTGAATAGGTGAAAACACATATTGAGAACCCTAAATAATACCCCAAAATAAAACTAATAATCCTCTAGCTTATCATCAAAGAAAAAGGAAGAGAGAAAAGATTTAAGTTACCCATGTATCAGGCATGAAACTCAAGACATCACTACATATAATAAGGGAATATTGGCCTCATGAATGTCTTCTTTTGAGAAGTGTCTATTCATATCCTTTGCCCAGTTTTTGATGTTTTTTTTTTTCTTTTTAAGTTCCTTCTAGATTCTGAGTATTAGAACTTTTCTCCCATTCTGTAGGTTGCCTGTTTACACTGATGATAGTTTTTTTTTTTGCTGTGCAGAAGCTCTTCAGTATAATTGATCCCGTTTGTCAATTTTGGCTTTTGTTGCCATTGCTTTAGTATTTTAGTCATGAAGTCTTTGCCCTGAATGATATTGCCTATGTCCTAAATGGTATTGCCTAGGTTTTCTTCTAGGGCTTTTATGGTTTTAGAGTCTATGTTGAAGTCTTTAATCTATCTTGAGTTAATTTTTGTATAAGTTGTAAGGACAGGGTCCAGTTTCTGTTTTCTGCATATGGCTAGCCAGTTTTCTCAGCACCATTTATTAAATAGGGAATCCTTTCCCCATTGCTTGTGTTTGTCACGTTTGTCAAACATTAGATGTTTGTAGATGTGCAGGGTTACTTCTGAGGCCTCTGTTCTGTTCCATTGGTTATATCTCTGTTTTGCTACTAGTACCATGCTGTTTTGGTTACTGCAACCTTGTAGTATAGTTTGAAGTCAGGTAGCATGAGGCCTCCAGCTTTGTTCTTTTTGCTTAGGATTGTCTTGGCTATATGGGCTCTTCTTTGGTTCCAAGTAAAATTTAAAGTAGTTTTTTCTAATTATGTGAAGAAAGGCAATGATAGCTTCATGGTAAGAACATGGAATCTATAAATTACTTTGGATGGTATGGCCATTTTCATAATATTGATTCTTCCTATCCATGAGCATGTAATGTTTTTCTATTTGTTTGTGTCCCCTCTTATTTCCCTGAGCAGTAGTTTACAGTTCTCCTCTAGGGAGGAGATTCCGCAAGTGCTGAGGCAGAAGCAAAAAACCTCAACCTATTTCCGTATAAATAATGAAGAAGAAAGTAACTAGAAATATAAACAGTAGTAGTTATTAGTTATTCATATGTGATTTTAGTTATTCATAGGTGATCTTAATTCTTTTACTAATGCCTCTCAGGTCGTAAGTGTAAATCTGGGGTGACATTGTGAAATGAATGACACTAAGGCAAGATGCTCTAAGCCCTCTGTCATGCCTGCATAAGGGCTGCTGGAGGGTGCTTTGGCTGTGTGGCAGCCTCAGCACTGGGAAAGCTCCTGCAGTTTAGGCAGGTAGGGAAGGAGACGTCCAAGATGACTGAGACATCTACTGCCCCGGGGGAGTTAGGAGAAAACTCCAAGTCTCCATGCTCTTGTGTAAGGCCTGATGGCTGTCAGGCAGACTGACAGAAATCCAGGAGCTTAATTGTCTCTATGTGATGCTGTGCTGCAGTGGTCACATTCCATGTCCACTCCCATGTTCTGCTCTGCACTTGGTTCCTTTCTTCTTAGAAAAGATAATTAGTAATAGTAATATATATCTTAATGTCTTAGTACTTTAATGATAAATATGGAAAAAGTGCTGATGCGTTATGCTCCTTACCTCACGTCCAGTGCCAGAAATTCCTGAGCCCCTACCTGAATGACTCGTGATATACTTCACCCTATCACTGCCATGCCCTATCTACCCTGCCCCCAGTATCCAACCAACAAGACCACGCCCTACCTACCCCACCCCCAGATTTGCAACTCAATAAAATTGAGAACATCCCAGCATTTGGGGCCACTGCTGGTCTCTGAGATTTAGTTAGCAGTGAACCCCCGGGCCCAAACTCTCTTTTCCCTGAGCGAGGGGAGGGAGAGCATTAGGACAAATATCTTCATGTCTTGCATCTTTTATTTCTACAATTTCTCGTCTCCACACCAGCCGGGAGGGGCTCACGGAACCCTGTAGGGCTGGACCCTATATTCTCCTTGAAGAGGTCCTTCACATCCCATGTAAGTTGTATTCCTAGGAATTTTATTCTCTTTGTGGCAATTGTGAATGAGAGTTCAAACATATGAAAAAAAGCTCATCATCACTGGTCATTAGAGAAATGCAAATCAAAAATCACAATGAGTTACCATCTCAAACCAGTTAGAATGGTGATCATTAAAAAGTCAGGAAACAACAGATGCCAGTGAGGATGTGGAGAAATAGGAATGCTTTCACATAGTTGATGGGAGTGTAAATTAGATCAACCATTATGGAAGACAGTGTGGCGATTCCTCAAGAGTCTAGAACCAGAAATGCCATTGGACCCAGCAATCCCATTAATGGGCCTATACCCGAAGGATTATAAATCATTCTAATATAAAGACACACACACACATAAGTTTCTTGCAGCACTATTTACAATTGCAAAGACTTGGAACTAACCCAAATGCCCATCAGTGATAGACTGGATCAAGGAAATGTGGCACATAATGTGCCATGGAATACTAAGCAGCCACAAAACAGAATGAGTTTATGTCCTTTACAGGGACACGGATGAAGCTGGAAACCATCACTTTCAGCAAACCAACACAGGAACATAAAACAAAACACCACATGTTCTCACTCATAAGTGGGAGTTGAACAATGAGAACACATGGACACTGGAAGGGAAACGTCACACACTGGGGCCTGCCAGTGGATGGAGGGCAAGGGAAGGGAGAGCATTAGGACAAACACCTAATGCAAGTGGGGCTTTAAACCTAGATGACAGATTGATGGGTGTGACAGCAAACCACAATGGCATGTGTATACCTATGTAACAAACCTGCATGTCCTGCACATGTATCCCAGAACTTAAGGTATAATAAAAATTTAAAAAATAATAACAAGGGAATATTATGAATGACATGGTTTGGCTGTGTGTCCCCACCCAAATCTCATGTTGAATTGTAGTTCAGTGATAGGGGAGGGACGTGGTAGAAGGTAACTGGATCATGGGAGATTTTCCCCAGGCCATTTTCATGATGTTGAATGAGTTCTCATGAGATATGATGGTTTTAACGTGTGTGGCACTTCCCCACTTCAGGCACGTTCTCTCCCTCTTGCTCTGCAATGTAAAATGTGCTTGCTTTCCTCTTTACCTTCTGCCATCAGTGTAAGTTTCCCGAGGCCTCCTAACAATGCTTCCTGTAGGGCCTGTGGAACTTCAAGTCAATTAAACCTCTTTTCTTCATAAATTACCCAGTCTCAGGTAGTTATTTATAGCAGTGTGAGAACGGACTAACACAATGAACAAATGTGTGCCAATAGATTCAACTATCTAGATAACACCAATAAGTTCCTTAAAAGGTTTAAATTACCAAAATGAAATCAAGAAAAACGAAATATCAGAAAAGCCTCATATCTATTAAAGAAACTGAATTTATTATTATAGAGATTCCAGTAAAAATCTCTAGGTTTTTACTCACTGATTAATTCAATCAAATACTTAAGGAGTAAATAATAGCAATTCTACACAAACTACACAAACTCGTAAGAAGATAGAGAAGAAAACACTTGCCAATTTAGTTTATGAGGTCAGCATTACTCTGATGCCAAAGCCAGACAAAAATTTTACAAGAAAGGACAGTATAGAACAATATCCCTCATGGCACAGATTTAAAAAAATTCCTTAACAAAAGAGTGTCATATTGAATCCAGCAGTACCTATTAATAAAATACCTACTGATCTAGTGAAGCTTATCCTTGGAATGCAACATTGAAGGACTGCTTAGCATTTGAAAATCAATCAATATAGTTCAGCATGTTAACAGAACAAAGAAGAAAACCCATATGAAAACTATAAAACCACAATGCTTATAAAAGAACACATGGTTAAAAAGTTTTCCAGGCTGGGGCTAAGCAAATTTTCATGGATAGGATATTAACAACAAAAACAAATTGTTCAACTGTATTTCATCACATTTAAAACTTCTATCTTTGATGAGCACAAGAAAATGAAAAGGCAAGCCACAAACTGAGAGAAAAAATATTTGCAATGTATGTACTTAACAAAGAAACGGATGCAGAATACAGCATTTCACAAAAGACGGTAGAGCAATAGACAGTAAGTATGTAAAAGAGGCTCAACATCATTAGCCATCATGAAAATGCAAACTAAACCTATTAAATTGGCTAAAATTTACAAAGGCTGACAATATCAATTTTTGACAAGAATGTGAGCACCTAGAATTCTCATACACTGATGGTGAGGGTGTAAACTTGTAAAATCACTTTGGAATCCAGACTGGCAGATTCTTATAAGTAAAACATACATTTGCCATGTAGACCAGCAATTCCAGCCATAAATATCTGCCCCAAAGAAATAAAAATATATGTTTATATAAAGATTGTACATGAATGTTCATAGCTGCTTTATTCATAATAGCCCCAAACTGGAAATAGCCCAAGTGTCCATCAACTAGTGAACGGATCAACAAATGGTAGTAGGTGTATATAATAGAATACTAATCAGTGAGAAACAGGAACAAACTACTGATATGCTCAACAACTTGGATAAAGCTCAAAACCACAATCTTCAAAGAAGCCAGACACAAATAAGTACATACTGTTCAGTTTCATCTACATGAATTCTAGGAATGACAAATGTAATCTATAATCACAGAAAGAACATCATTGGTATGGGAGGCTCACTTCAAAGAGGCAGAAGAGAACTTCTGGGGGTATGAAAATATTCTGTACCTTGATTGTGGTTGTGTTTTCACCACTATTCACTTGATTATATTAAATTACACCTGAATGTTTTTACTATTACCTAGTATGGTGATAGGTTTCAAAATTATCTCTCTAAACCTGATGGCTCATTCTCTAAAAAAACATAAACCACAGTTAAACTCTGTAAAATTGTAATACACAGTTTTCTGGAAAACTGAACCAAAAGAGTGGCATCTGAATGAAGTTGACTTAAATTATAAGTGAATCATAACTGATAGTAGATGTAGCAACACACGTTCTTTCATAGACTCCTGCTAAGCGCATACACTGGTAGAGTACTTTTGAAAAGTAGTCATCGATAGGGATTTTAGTCATTCTCTTAAGTAATTCTACATTTAGAAATCTACTCTGAAATAAGAATGAAATGAATAACCTGAAATAAGAATAATTTTTAATGTGAATAGATGTTTGTAGCCTGCTACTTCATTAAAATAAAAAACAAAAATGAAAACACAAACCCTACATAATAGACAACAGGGAATGGTTAAGAAAATTATGAACGAGGCATGAGAGGGACTATTTCAGAGCTATGTAAAATGGTGTTTTTCAAGATTCTTAAATAATATGATAAAATCTGTATGTCAAAATATTAAACGAAGAGAACTAAAGAAAAATCATGCCTACTGTAATATCTTAATCCTACAAAATGTAAATTATAAAAGAGGCTAGAAAACATTTAACAATCATATCTGAATGGTGATGTAATTTTTTCTTTATTCTTTTCTGTATTTTCCAAACAGTTCATAATTTATGAAAATTATGTTTTAATAAAAAATATGCATTACAAAATAGCTAATAGTAAATATTCAAATACACCATGTAACTTCTAAATACTGATTTTGAGTCGTGGTTTCATAATTCAAAAGCTTGAATTTATCATAGTGAAAGTTTTGTGTATAAAAGGAGCCCAAAGAAATCGTAAAGGATTTTCCTTAGGAAATTTCAAGTAAAAGCAAATCACTTCTACAGTGCAAACCAACAACATTAGGTGGCATGAGTGTACCAGATGCTAAGCCACAAAGATAACACTTGCCTGAAAAGAGCTTTGAGGTTTTCCGGTAATTCGGTTCGACCAGCATAACCCGGGTTCATAGTAATAAATATTCCAACTGATGGCTTCAGTGCAATAGCTTCCCCAAGAAATACAAATCTACCATAAAAAGAATGTTGATGATATTAAATGTGTTCATTGAATATGAATGCACATTGACAAATGCAAACCACTGCAAAATGCAAATTATTATTAGGAAGCTGTTTATTCTGTGTAATTTTCTTTAAAATTCATAAGCATACATATTTTGAATACATTTTGAAGCATATTTATTAAAAACACCCTCCAGAGCAATTATAAAAATACAAAATATTCGTTTCTCTTTTAGTATAGCCTTAGTGTCCTAGAGTATAAAAATAAGGACTTGACTATTTTAACATTTAATGGAAGGTGATGGCATTTTTACCTTCAACATGGGCTGCAGTTCCTTGAATGGGATGTTGCATAGAAAGAGAATGCCCATACTAAGAGGAGAAAGGAATGCCCTGTTCAGTCTTATATTTTGTCTATTTCTTCAACCTCTTTCTTTCTCTTTCCCTCCATACCTTCCATTGACTCAACAAAAATCTATGAAATATCACTGAGGTGTAGAATAGCTCTGGAGCCAGACTCTGAGTATTCAGATACCAGCCATATCACTTTAGGCAAGTTAATTATCCTCCCTATGTTCCAATTCCAATTCCCTCATCTAGTAAAAATAATAATAGTATTACCCACCTTACTGGATTATGCAGGGATTTAAAGGGGATTATAAATATAAATGGGTAAAAGTACAATGAGTATTGACAATCATGGTCAATACTCAAGAGATGTTAGCTATGACTATTGCTTTTACTGTCACTTGAAGGCATTGGAGAAACAGTGAAAGATTTTCAGAAAGATTTGCAAGGACCCAAGGGGATTGTTGCTGGCCAGAGAATTGAATGGTAACGTGCTATGGGAGCCATACTGAGAGATGGGTAGAAGGAAACTTTCAAATGAGGGCAAATGAGACAAAATATAAGGCTGATTTCTTGCTGAGAGGGGAGAGCTGAAGCAGTTAAGAAGCTGGGTCGGCATCATGGAAGAGAGAAGATACAGAGAAAAAAATCACAGTGTTTAGGACTAAGAGTGTCTCATACACCAGGTAATTAAGAGCAGGTGGATTTTGTACAGTCAAGGTAAAAATGGAGAAAACTTCATTTCCCAGAATGTCAGGCTAGGGAAGGCAGACAGGCTGACAGGGCTGCTCACACACAGAGAGGTGGCTCTTGCCACAGGATAACTGCCTACTTTCCCATTGTATACAGCAGGGACAGCCACAGTCAAAGGTGTAGTGCTGGTGAGGCACTAGAAGGCTGTGTAATTGAGGCATGATCCCATCTCCTAAATCTTCATGTGTAAAGAGAATTTAATAAGCTCATGAAAACAAGAAGGAGCAGAACTGTCTGCATCTGGGCTAAAAAAAGATGAAGAGAGAAGACCCACAGACATTCAGACAAGAGGAGACTACCAAGGAGCATTCTTGGCAATTTTCAGAAAATCAGTACATGAATCAGTTACATAAATCTCCATAAGAAAGGATGGCCTCAAATGACATATGGGTTTCAGCAAATAAAAAGAATTTGACTAAAAGCCACATAAAATATGGCTGGGGATCTAAGAAGAAAGAACTGAGCTACTCTATCATGGCCTTAGAGATGGAGCAGGTCAGGAAACAGACATCTGAACATATAGAACTGGGACCCAAGGCCCATGTGGCAGGAGGACTGAATGAGAGGTTTTCTAGAAGGCAGAAATATCCAGATGTATCTACTAATAGCCTGGGAACTTCTACAACAGGGTCACAGTCCAAGAGGCTAGATAGTCCTTGGCAGATTGAAAATGTTCCTATGGACAAGACAGCTAGCTGAGCAAAATATTCTAAAACCTGGGCAGCACAGGTAGGCCAGATAAGACTGCCCTGTTGATAAAAATGTTACAAAGAGGACTAGAATTGTACTGCATGTTATACTTATTTCTCAAATTAAGCCATCAAACCTAAGTGCCAGTTGTGTTTTGCTTTTTGGAGTGTGGCATCATGTTGAGAAGTGTTTAGATTTCAAATATAACTTCAAAGATCTTGGCCCAAGTTACTGGAAGAACATAAAGGTATAAGCTGTTGGGATGAGACAACTAGCAAAGGAAGAGTTGGAGGACTAAGGTTTTGATTGTGGATATATTACATATGAGAAGCCCGGGAGACCTCCAGTAGAGTCTTGCGATGCCCCAAGCAGGTGTTTAGGTCAGTCTAGAGATGAGGGGAAAGAAGGCCTGCACATCTGGCGGTCAGCAGCATAGAAAGAGCTTTTAAAAGCCCTGGTACAAGATGAAATCAACAAGGCAAGAAAATATAGAGAAAATAAGTCCAAAGACTGAGGCCTGTGGTGTCTAACATGAACTGGCCAGAAAATAACAATAAAACATAACAGCAAACACTGACACAGTGCTTACAATGTGGTAGGCATTTGTCCAGGTACCTGGCATTTAATCATCACAGTAATCTACACAGCAGGTCCTCTTCTTTCCCCCATTTTATAGATGGGAAGAAACCAGCAATGAAGCAGCTGTGAGGGGACAGAGATGTAGGGAGGTGGTGTCCTGCAACCCACATGAACAAAGTGTATCACGCAGTAGATAGTGACCAACTGCATCAGATGCTGCCAGAGGTCAAGAAAGATGAGGACTGAAAACTGATCAATGGAATGAGCATCTTCGAAGTCTTTTGGGTTTTTTGGAGAAAGGGTCTTGCTCTGTCTCCCAGGCTGGAGCACAGTGGCACAAACACAGCTCACTGCAGCCTTGACCTCCTGGCCTCAAGCAATCCTCATGCCTCAGCCTCCCAAATAACTGGGACTAAACATGCTGCCATGCCCGGCTAATATTTTAAATTTATTTATTTTGTAGGCACCAGGTCTTGCTACGTTGCCCAGTTTGGTATTGAACTTCTGCGCTCAAACAATCCTCCCACCTCAAACTCTCAATGTGCTGCGATTACAAGCATGAGCCACTGTGTCTGGCCGATCCCAGAAGCTGTTTTTTAAGTGATTAAAGTAACGTAATATACATGTGTTGTATTCATCACTTAGAAACCACTAACAAAAATGGGAGACTATCCAATTCCCCCAAATGGACTAGACTCTTCCCTTTATCTATCTCATAAGACAGGGAGAGGTAGCAATAGACAGTGGAGGGGAGGTTAGTTGCATTATTCCATGTTTTTCTTTCTATTTATAACAAGGGAAAACCCACATGCCACTCACCTCTTTTTCCTGTTTCTGATGGCATCATGAATAATTTTCACTTGTACCGCCACCACTGACAGAACTTCCACAGAGATTCGATTGAACTCATCAAAGCAGCCCCAAGCTCCTGTTTGCACCAATCCCTTATAGATATTTCCTATGGACTAAATAATAAAGTGAGGCACTTGGAATTTAACAGAAGGGGTTTTTAAGCTATTATAATGAATAATTCCCAACCAGGAATAATGCTAGAGAGTACACAGTTCTACACATGACTTTATGACTGACTTACTTTGTAGTCCATTTGCTCTGAACAGTTGAATACATAAACCATCATGCCAAGGGCACGACCTAGGTCCTTAGTGGTCTCTGTTTTTCCAGTCCCAGCTGGGCCAGCAGGAGCCCCACTCATGGTTAGATGAAGTGATTGAGTTAAAGTAATGTAACACCTTTAAGCAACAGAAAACAGAAATATCACGGTCTACTATGAGATTTCCATACAACATCAGAGGCAATAAATTTTTTTTAAAGTTTAAGAAGCTCTAGAGTGTGATAGTAGCACAAAATAACAAAATACTGATATACTTCTGATCTGTTCATGGCAAGAATGAATCCGAACATTTTGTATCACATTTATTTTTAGGCTAGCTGTCTAAAAATACTAGAAAAGAATGTATTTCCTTGTCTATTGATCTCATTTCCTACGAATTGTGTATTTGAATACAACACTTGATTTGTGATGCTAATAGATTTCAGGTATTTCCAGGTAAAGATACTATTAATATGGCAGACAACATCTCAAACTATTGTTTATAAAGGAAAAGTAGTTTAATGCAGTTAACCTGCTTTAAAAGTAGTTTAGAGCAGCTTAATGCAGCAGATGTTTAATTGATTCATCAGTCTTGAATGATGAATGAATTAAACATCTGCTGCATCAAACTGCTACTTAATATATGTATAATTTATATAAATACATAGTATACAAATAATATATACCTATTTCAATATATAAAGCAAATATAAAAAGATAATTTATTATATTTAAATGTATTTTAGAAAATTCTTTTGAATGTGTGCTACATGCACTTAGATTACCACAACATTATTTTACATGAAAGACTGAGAGGTTCTTAGAAAATCATGAAACAAGAATACGTAATAAAAGAAGACAAGACAAATAGCAAGGACCTCAAATGGCTGTATTCTTTATCTGGGGTTTCCTGAGGTTCATAAATTGTGTTCATCTTCGTCAGACAGCAGGTCTAGTGAAATGATACATATATGAAGGTCAGGAGACCAGAGACTAATGTCTCCTTTGCCAATCATCAGATGCTCATCTTAAATAAGTCTTCTGACATCAACGTACCTCAGTTTTCTCCTCCCTTAAATGAGGTTAATTGTAGGATTATATTCAGAAGGCCAAAGGTAAATGCCTTAAAAAATTGAAAGTGCTATGCAAATACAAGCAATTAATTATGAAAACAGAAGGTATTTCTGTATTTTATATCCATTGCATGTTTAAGCATATCTTACAATGAAAGAGTGAAAAGGCTCCCAGACTAGGAATCAGAGCATTTCTTGCAGTAGCGATTTTCACCTTATAATTTTCTCTGGTGGTTCCAAGTTTTGGGTAGGAATATGGCCTCCAACGTTTACAGACTGCATTTCCCACCTGGTTTCCAGTCAGGAGTTGCCAAGTGACCAAATCAATGGTATATGTGCAGAAATGATGAGTGCCATTCCTGGGACACTCCTTGCAGATATTTGACCTACACTCTCTTTTCATCCTCTCTACTGGCTAAAACACAAGTGGAAACCATGTTTGGCATGTGGGCCACCTGCCAGCCTGTACTGCTGACCCTGTACTCTCCTCTGGACTATGAGACACCCACTTCTGTGTTATTTAAGCCATTGTGTTTTGGAATTTCTTTTCTTTTTTTTTTTTTTTTTGAGACAGAGTTTTGCTCTTGTTACCCAGGCTGGAGTGCAATGGCACGATCTTGGCTCACCACAACCTCCGCCTCCTGGGTTCAGGCAATTCTCCTGCCTCAACCTTCTGAGTAGCTGTGATTACAGGCACGCACCACCATGCCCAGCTAATTTTTTGTATTTTTAGTGGAGACAGGGTTTCACCATGTTGACCAGGATGGTCTCGATCTCTTGACCTTGTGATCCACCTGCCTCGGCCTCCCAAAGTGCTGGGATTACAGGTGTGAGCCACCACACCCAGCCCATGTTTTGGAATTTCTAACAGCAGCTTTACCTTTACCCTCCTAACCAACACACCTGAGTTCCAGTACAAGTTGATCAGGTACGAGCTAGTTGATTTCAGTCTTTGAACCTGTTTACATATGGGAGGAGACACTGTCTCCCTTGCCTACCTCACAAAGGGATCGTCAGCATCAAATGAATATAATGCTAGAATTTGAAAGGCATCATTTTGTTAATGGAAACCATTAGTAAGTAATTCAAAGAATGAAATGGAAATGGAAACACTTTATCCAACACAATTCACAGTATAAAAATGAACATTCCTCTTCCTTTTAGCTCCCAAAATACCCACACAGTGACTCTTCTAATTTAGAAGTTAATAAACTATTCCGCCTCACATAATGATAAACTTTAAAATGTCTCTTCCCTTTTTCTCCTATACCCTGGGCCTTCCTTTCTTCTCTGTCGACAATGGCATGCATACAGTAGACTCCTCACCTCTGCAGTTTGGACTATTCTCAAGTGACTTCTTCAAGCGACAAATTGTAATCCCTCTCATTGAAAGCAGTGCATAAATTAATGAAGACAGTGAATGTTGATGTTTAGTGAGAGACAAGTTAGAACTGAATTAGACATAATTATAGAAATGATACAATACACAAGTGTTGTGATTATGAGCAGATTTATATGTATAAGAACAACCACAAATGTATCCTGACAATCCTACCAGCCTCTCAGGACTACCATAGCAAACCAGTTTTATAGACTTATAGTTGAAACTGCCTACATTTTGGTGAAAGTGGATAATTGGGCATACTGCTATGAGTTTGAGGTGTGATTTCCGTTTCATGAATGTCAAAGATTAAATGTGCTGTCTCCCATTAAACAGGTCAGCAGAGATTGGAATACTAACAAAGAAATTCATGTCAATGTGACATAGTCTTACCTCCACAATATTCTGACTATGTATATATTTACTTGGAGTCAAGTGGAAATGAACTATTGATAACAGTAACCTCTTGCCCTGTTGAAACACTTGAACCAAGTATTTCAAATACCTGTATTTGAAATACCTGAAATACACACTGGCTTTCCTTCTATCCCTGGCACTCGCCAAGTGTATTCCCACCTTGGAAACTTTGTCCTCGCTGTTGCCTCTAACTTTCTGCCCCAGGATCTGTGCCTAACTGGTTCTTCATGTTTTGGTCCCACCTCAAGCTCTCTATAATCTATAATAGACACTCCCTTTGAGACAATTTTAAATATATTGACATTTTTTATTTCTTCATAGCATATATTACAGCCTAAATAACAGTGTTCATTAATTTATTTCTTGTTTCTCTGTTTCCCTACTAGAAAGTAATCTCTGTGACAGCAGGAACCCTGTCTGTTCCACACTGGAATAGTACTTAGCAGAGGTACTATTAATGATTTGTTGAATCATTTAATGAATGCTATGTTCTACCCTTTCCTTTCTTTTCACTGTATACAATTCCTCAAATATGAATTTGAACACAGGCAATTCCTAGTTATTTTTACGCTTTGAATGTAAGAATACTGGGAGGGTGGAAGGAGGTGGTGATAGATCCTGATACCAGATGTCAGTTGTAGATAACTGGGCAGAATAAAAAATGCCTCCTTGAGCCCTATTAATCCACTCATGATTTCATCATCGGTGCATTGTATAGCGTCTGTAATTCTGTTTCTCTAATTTAATTCTCTTTACCTTTTCCTGATTAAAGTCAACATTCCCTATCTTACTTTATTAGTTAATTTACATACCACTCTCACGTAGCTCATTGTTTGTTTATCATTTCTCCTCATTTCTTCCTTTTCATTCTCACACATCTCTGCTCATGCTAGGGGACTGTTTTGGATGGGTTTCTCCCACCTGGATGGAAACTTACAGTTGTTACCTGTCAGTTAGAGGAGTGATCACTAGTCGAGGACTGTTTCCTAAGTATTCATAGAAGTACTGGAACCGGGCATCACAAATATTAACAAAGCAGTGCTTCTGTGTATCCTCCCACTGGTGACGAAGCTGAGACAGCCATGTAAAAGCTTGGGGACTGACAACCTAAAAGCATTGCATAATCATCATATACAGGACACTGGTAGTTTTGGAGCAAAAATTTGTTAATCTAATTAACTCTACTGGTTCACATTTTATTGATAAAATTTTCACAAATAGGAAATCTCTTACTATTGCCAATTGTAACTGCACATACATGGTTAAATAGTAAGAAATACACATGTAATAAGTTCTCATTTTAAACTGGCTTTTATTTAAAAACAATATGAATTTCTTCAAGCAATGCTTTTTTCTCCCCTTTCATGAATCATCCCAGGGGATTAGATAAATTTTGTAACTTCATACTCCTATCACTGAAGTCAGATGGAAAAACACACCATCTGTATGAAAATGGCATATAATCCATAACTTCTGCACCTCAGAACTACACTTTTAACCAAGTTCATTCTAAAACCAATCTGCTTTTAGTGCAGAGATTTTTCTGCTTCATTTTTAATCACATCAAATAACAGTATTTTTCATTGCTATTCTTTCCCATCTACTCAATCCTGACCATTCATCTTCCTGTTAAAAATCCCTGTCTTTTTCAAGGTATATGTGACCTGCGGATTTCTTGAGAATCAGTGGAACTTACCAAAATTACTGTATACTAACTTGTCTGACGACTACATAGGTTTCGGCACTGCATAATCATGTATATCAGATGGTTGGGAATTAGACAAAGTATCTCTTTTAGTACAAAATAAAGGACATATTTTAAATCAGAATTTATCCTACTGCAAATCATCAGACTGATAAAACAGAATAAAACATGTAGGAAGATAAGAGGCTCTATTAAAGGAGTAGTTAGTTATCAACAGTTCATTATCAAAATGAGAACACATGGTAAGTGATGTTTTGCAAGGAAAAGTTCTGGACTAGCAATTAAAGAATATTGCTCACTAGTGGTCCTGAAGATGGATCAAGGAATATTAATATGTTTATGGCTTACATGAAGAAGCATTTTCTTGCACTTTATAAAAGGAATTAAAATTCACTTTGTTTTTAATAAACTGAGAGAAAAAAAGAAAAAGCACAGAAACATTTCACAATACATCCAGGCATTCGAACTGTGAAAGGAACTGCCTGTTTTAGTGCTACCAAACGAGTGCAGTCCAGAAGACAAGCATGCCCCTGACTTCTGGAAATCGGAAAGTATTTTGGAAAGAAGGATGAGAAAATTCTCCTTTCACATTAAACACTTCCAGCACTTAAAGACACACAGACTTTTTAAAGTATTTAAAACAAAAGTTAATGTACTACAAGATTTAGAAAATAACTTCTTCCAAGAAAATAAATTAGCTGTTCAAGGAATAGACAAAGGATTACCCAAGTGACAACCTAAAATTATGACCAACATCTCTCTCTTCAAGGAGAAATGTATCAAAGGCACACAGACATGATTTAAATTACATACACAAAATCTTACTGCTATTGGCCGTGTAAGTCACAGAGGTGAGGCTCACAGACCAATGACCCAATATGGTCATGCACAGAGAGATGAACACAGTAATTTCTCATGGTTCTTTCATTACAGTAAAAATTTTTTTGCTGGTCTGATGTTCCTAACTTGGCAAACTCTTTGGGATATCACTTGGAATAACTCTCATCAGGATAATATATTGGCTAATCAAAATCAAATGTGCCCCAAATAACCACAACTTTTGAGGACTAATTAAAACATACAAACTTAAAAAAAACAGTGACTTTCTTGGAACTACCCTGGCAATAAACACCACTTTAAGGCAACGATAATGAATACATAAAATTTCTACAAACGACTTGCCTTCTGAGAAATAAGTTTGGCCACCACGTCTCTGGCATGGACATCTATGGTACAAATTGTCATGATCTTCTGTCTGTCTCCTGGTGGAAGTTCTCCCAGCAAAAGTGTAATTAGTGTATTCAGCTGAGAAATCTAGAAGGAATTGTTTTTTATAAAGGAGGGAAGGGTTACAAATACAGCATTTAATTCTTCATATTTGTAAAGTGTCATTGAGTTTACAAAACAATTTCTTTCTTTCTTTGAGACAGAGTCTCACTCTGTCACCCAGGCTAGAGAGCACTGGCATGATTTTGGCTCACTGTAACCACTGCCTCCTGGGTCCAAGCAATTCTCCTGTCTCAGCCTCCAGAGTAGCTGAGATTACAGGCACCCGCCACCACAACGAACTGATTCTTTTATTTTTAGTAGGGACAGGATTTCACCATTTTGGCCAGGCTGGTCTTGAACTCCTGACCTGAACTCCTGACCTAGGCCTCCCAAAGTGCTGGGATAATAGGCATGAGCCACCGCACCTGGCCACAAAACAATTTCAAATCTGTTACCGCAGCTGGTTCTCAAAGAACCTTGGTGTAGAAATGACAATATTATTACCCCCTCACACAGATGAAGGACAAGAGAACCTGTGAATAATGACAAAGCTGGGGCAGACACAGGGTTTCCTGGCTGCACTGAACTGACCCTCTACCCTAATGATAACCTGGTCCACAATATTGCTGGAATAGAAATCACTACAACTCTTAAAAGGCCAAATTAGACTAACTTTCAAAAACTATATCAAGAGCTAAATGACAAATTATATTTTTCTTTAGAAAAGTATTTGCCTAACAATGTGTGTGTGTTTTTTTAAATACACGATAGTGATGATTACTGAAAAAGTACTTAAAATGTAGAGCTGAAGAATATCCTCCTTTATTCTGATTCACATCTCTACTGTTTAGGTCCATCAAACTTGTAAGACAAATACTTTCAAACTGCTGGTCTTTTTTCATACAATGGAAAGGAATAAAATGAAATGACGTGACTGACAATTCATTGAAGTGAATGGAATAGAAAACACAGCGTTACGGGTAGTACGTGTATATACTGTTTCAAGCTGTTTTATTTCCGTTTTGACTACATACATAAACATGTGAACCTGGAGCTGAGAGAAAATATTTCTTACGGTAAATTGTGGTCAGAGAGGTTTGAAAGATGCTGTCTGTATTAGGTTGTCATTTTGTTACTATGGTTATTTACACAAAAAGATTTCTGCCTTACTCAAGCCTTATTTACAAAAACAGTATTTCTGCCTTATTCTAGGTATCGTACTGTGAAACAATACCATCCTTTTTTCTCTTCAGCTCTGCAAAGGACAGTCAATGACAAACTGCTAGCACCTGAGAAAGCTGGCAGTAAGTGTATAAGCCAGATCACCAGACTCAAACCTTTGTAGTCTACTGTCAAACACAGGTTCCCTATTGTACTATTATCACGCGCTGGAAAATGCAAAATCCTGCAAACTTCCCTGAGATTGCCACGCAGCTGGAGGCTGGAGAAAGTCATACAGCTGGAATAAGAAGGGAAAAGAAAGGCAGGAAGAGATAACCATAACATGTGCAATTTACATGAAACGAGAAGACAGAAGGTTTCAGGCACTGACTAAACATTGCTGATTTCATGGCACTTAATCTTAAGACAATCTGTTATCTGAACTTGCAGGTAAGAAAATTGAGTCACAGCTTTATTAACCACTTTGCCAATCCAGGGAGGGGAATCTCAAATCCCAACAGTCTGACTTCAGGGTTTTCACATAAACCCCCTCCAGTGTCCACAAGACCTACCCATCCCTTCAGGTCTGAAAAATTGTAGCTGTGTAAGAAGCATTCAGGACAGACTTAAAGTCAAACACAAAGGAAAAAAAGAAATAAAAATATTAATACACATTCCTCTAGACATTCAGGATACACAACAGCTTTATAAGCATTTGCTCTATTTCCCCTACACCCTGGCATTAAGGCATGACTGAAAAATAAAAATTGTACACATTTAAGGTGATATTTTGATATATGTATACACTGTGAATCTATTACCCCAACCAAGCTAATTGACATATCAATCAGCTCACCTACATGTCTTTAAGTGAGAATACTTGATATTTACTCTCTGAGCAAATTTCAAATATGTACTACATTATTAACTATAGTTGCCATATGTTACATCTTTAGAACTTACTCATGCTATAACTGAAAGTTTGTACCTTTTCACCAGGAGTATCTTCCCTTCTCCCCACTCCCTATCCTCTGGTAACTACCATTCTACAGTTATTATGTGTTAGACTTTTTTTTAATCCACTTATAAGTGAGCTCTTGCAGTATTTGTATTTCTGTTTAGCTTATTTCACATAGAATAATGTCCTTCAGATTCATCCAGGGTGTCACTAATTGTAGGGTTCCTTTATTGTAAAGGCTAACTCATATTCCTCTGTATGTGTGTGCATGAGTGTTAGTGTGTGTGTCTACACATTTTCTTTATCCATCTATCAGTGAAGACTTGGGTTTATTCCACATCTTGGCTATTGTGAATAAAGCTGCAATACACATAGGAATGCACATATCTTGTCAAGATAGTGATTTTATTTCCTTTACCTATATACCCAGAAATGAGATGGTTGGATCATATGGTAATTCTATTTTTAATATTTTGAGGACTATTCATACTGTTTTCCATAATGGCTATACTACTTTCTACCACCCGCCAAGGAGGTAAAAGATCTGTAAACCGAAAATTAAAAAACTTCAATGAAAAAAATTAAAGACACAAATAAATGAAATGATCCCATGCCCTTGGATTAGAAGAATTTATATTTGTTAAAAATCTCTGCACTGCCCACAGTTCTCTATAGACTCAATGCAAGTGCATCAAGACCAATGGAACAGAATAGAGAGTTCAAAAATAAATTTTTCAACTTATTTTCAGCATAGGCACCAAAAACACAAAGTAAAGAAAGGATAGACTCTTAAATAAATGATGTTAACAGAAAACTGGGTATCAAATGCAAAAGAACAAAACTGGACCCTTACACTATACACAAAAATCAACTTAAAGACTTAAAAAAAAAAAACTATACAAAAAAAACCCCTAAAGAATTGCACTTGTAATTCTAGCTAAGTCTCTTATCAAAGACTTAAAGATAAGACATGAAACTGTAAAACTCCTATAAAAAAACATGTGGGAAAATCTTCATGACTTTGGTCTTGACAATAATGTTTTAGACACCATAAGTACTTGACACCATAAGTATAGATGACGAAAGCAAAAATAAACAAGTGAACTATATCAAACTGAAAGGTTTCCATACAACAAATGAAAAAATCAACAAAATGAAGCCTATGAAATGGAAGAAAATGTATACAAACAAATCTGATAAGGAGTTAATATCTAAAATATATAAGGAACTCATACAACTCAATGGCAACAAAATAAATAACCTGATTAGCAACAGGCAAAGGACCAGAAAAGACATTTTCCCAAAGAAAACAAATGGCCCACTAGTATATGAAAAGATGCTCAACATCACTAATCATTAGAAAAATCAAAACTGCAATGAGCTATCACCTCACACACATTAGAGTGGCCATTATGAAAAAGTCAAAAGATAACAAGTGTTGGCAATGATGTGCCTTAACCTACTACAAGAGCGACATCAAAGATCACTGATCACCGGCCGGGAATGATAGCTCATGCCTGTAATCCCAGCACTTTGGGAGCCTGAGGTGGGTGGATCACTTGAGGCCAGGAATTCAAGAGCAGCCTGGTCAACAGGGTGAAACCCCATCTCTACTAAAAATACAAAACATATTAGCCAGGTGTAGTGATGTGCAGTTGTAATTCCAGCTACACAGGAGGCTGAGACAGGAGAATCACTTGAATCCAAGAGGTATAGGTTGCAGTAAGCTGAGATTGCACCAGTGCACTCCAGCCTGGGTGACAAAGTGAGATTCTGTTTAAAAAAAAATAAAAAAAGATCACTGATCACAGATCACCATGACAGATACAATAAAAAATTTAAATATTGCAAGAATTACCAAAATGTGACACAAAGACAAAAAGTGAGCACATGTTGTTTGAATGTTAATGCTCAGTATAGGGTTACCACCAATCTTTAATTTGTAAAGAAAAAAAAAGGCAGTAACCGAAAGGCACGATAAAGCAAATCACAGTAAAATGAGATATACCTGTATTTTAATACATTTCATCTTTAAAAATTAGTTAAATGTTTAAAAAGCAGATGTGATTATTGTTTTATGTCTAATGTGCTCACCATCCCCTAGATTTTATGTTCCACAAAGGCAAGGACAGTGACGATCTTATTCAGTGCCTTATCCCAGAGCCACTGAAGAACTGTCAGAGTGTGGGTGCTTAATGTGTATCTGCTGAATAGATGAACTAATTAATATACACGTCAGTGAGTAAAGAGGTGTTTAGGCCTTGGATATTTTCTCATCTGGGTCAAGATCCAGGCTTTGCAGTATCCAATCTTAAACCATTACCAGTATTTGGTTTTAAAAAAAGTTGATTGTAACAAAAGTAATAATACCATATGCCTTATAAGAACATTTATAATTTTAAGTGCATTCGCATGCATAGTCTTGTCTGAGCCTCCCAACAACCTGTGATTTCTGCATTCCTCATTTTTCACAGAACTGCAGTCAAATGGAAGATGATTAAAAACACAGCTTGTCAACATAATCTACACAGCATCGTATGTTGGAAATCTTATATTGTGCATCAAGATTAAACATTCTCTGATGATACTCTTTTTTAAGTAATAAAATTCTGTACCCATAGTTATGTAATGTCTGTATTATTTGGGCAGTGGCAACAGGTAGCAATCATTATGGTCAATAATGTAGTCACATCCAAGTTTACGGTCTGTGATGTAGAAAACATTCCTTGGCAGCTTTAAGAAAATATATCCTATTGTGTAATCAGTACATATTCTTGCCACTAATCGCAGTAGTGTTACAGGATTTTCTACTGGATCAAGCATGCATGCCCGCCTCAAGTCTAGCTACATCCCTTTGAAACTCAAGTGGCTGTTTTCCTGGTACATGTTGACTTCATTAGAGTGCAAGTACAGCATGTACCTTGAG